GGACAAAAGGACCTGAGCGTGGCTCGAAGGCTAACCCACGTGTACAAGGCTCAGACAAATCCCAAAGTGACCGCCAAACATCATGTGGTCACATAAACAAAGCATTTCAGACGCGATTTCCCCGCTATATCGCCAATGTTTTCGGTTGCAGTGTTAAAGACCATACCGTCTTCAAGGATTTCTGAAAGCTCTCCACCAGCTGCGTTGTACAGATAGCAAATCAATGTAAATTCCGTTTCTGTCGACGATTGCGGACAGATTTCTTAAGCAAATTATGCTTCAATGTTTTTGTTTATCTGAATAAACTGCATGACTGATTGGCTTATTGGTTGTTTTCTTGTTCTTATGGGCTAAAGTTGGCCCACGGGCCATTTGAATGTGCATTTGTTACCAATCCATGGGACAGGCTCGGAACACTGCACTTCACCATGTGCTAGTGCAAAAAGTCCACCAAGCACCGCCATTTAAATATGCAATTGAGGGCGTAGCACCCTTCTACCCACTCTCCGGCTAATGTGCTTCTGCCTCTATAAGTAAAGGTTTGCTCTGGCACTCTATATTTGGCAGTAGTCACAGCGTACAGGGAAAATTCCTATGACTTGGCGAGTTTCAAACTTTACGCCAATAAAGGATCTGCACAACCTTCGTATTGATAGATTAATTCTCCCTTTTAAAGGCAATTAAGGCACAATAGTGTGCTCTAATGCTTTGTTTATGTGACTACCAGACGTATGGCGGTCACTTTAGGATTTATCTGGTCCCTGTAGACGTAGGCTGGCCTTCGGGCTATGCCCAGACCCATTTGCTCAATTGTATTCGAAATACATGTATTCAGCTGCACTTACTGACTTCTTATACCGGCTAGGAAGTCTCGGAACTCTACACTAATTGCGGCGGAAAACGAACCCAATATCTTTAAAACAACTGTTAGCGAAGGTGGAGTCTCTCTGCAGCTTGTTCTTCGTTGGTCGTTCCCCAAAAGCAACATAGTGCCCAATAAAATCTATTACTCAACAGACACCGCTGTCTTACTGACATCCTATGTTTGTGTTGCTAAACTTTGCAATTAATCTAACAAGCCGACGAGAGCTGGTTTGATCGGATGATGCAATGCTTCAGCACCTACAAATGGCGCAGGATCTGGAGATGTATGTCGCTTGTTCTTGGTGCTGATATTCTGGGTTTGAGTATTTGTGAGCCTGATAATCTGTTGGACATTAACTTCGGGTTTCCTTGGTTGGAAATTCGGAACCTCTCTTTTCACGAGAAGAAGGTTATAATCCAACCAACAGACATCTGTCGACTGGCGCGGTTGGCTCGTGGATGCTTTCTTGTAGTGCCGAAAATGTTGTGATGGCTGGTGTGGGAGGTGTACCAAGGGGAGCGCAGAGGACGTCACTCAAAAGAAGAGGAACAGTATGGTGCTTTGTTTATGGGGCTGCCTGACGTTCGGCGGTCACTTTAGGATTTGTCTGCTCCTTGTACACGTGGGCTGGCCTTTGGGCCATGAACCGGTCCATTTGTTTTGTCGTTTAAAAATGTCTGTATTTAGCTGCACTTACTGACTTTTGAATCGGCTAGAAAGTCTCAGGAGACTTCATGTTTTTACAAATAACTCTGGTTGCTTGCTGCTGTTTGCTTCCTTACAACCGAAAGTGGTAGTACATGACTTTCCATTTCTTAATTGCAGTCATTTGGTTTATTTTGTCAATAATGGCTGAAACTCATTTTTAGCATTGATGCCACATTATCTTTTGGCTGTTTAAAGAAATCCATGACAGCCTAATATTGCTTTGTTTGTATAGGTTTTTAACCAACTTATGCTCCGCATTTTAATGTTTATCCGAAAATTTTTTAATAGTTTGTTGCGTGTTTTTTGTTTGGATTCAGAATCGATTGTTTGTTGTGTTAGGATTCGATTACTTGTTTAGGAGTAAGGACATTTGACACGCCTTTTATTGGTCTTCGTACACTACATTTTTATTGGGTACTTGTGGCGCGACCACAATCGGGCTTGCAGCGAGTTTCATGCTGCTGCCATGCTCGACTTCTTTCTTTGTTCACCTTGATGGTAGCTTTGGATCGGCAAGAAATGCGTGGTTCCACAACACATGAGGGCAAAGGTATCGCGCTATCTATGACAACTGCTGAGGGGAGGGGACTGTATATACCAAGGGAATACATATGTGGTGGCGTTGCGTCCATGATCAACGTAGTTGTGGTCTTCCCACTACACAAGACAGTCTTCTTCCAGCAATTGGATGGTATAAGATGGTCAGCTGCATTTATGCGGTTGCGAAGGGAAGGACTGGGGCAGGTCTACAGAGGTGTCGTTCCTCCTCTCCTTCAGCGCGCTTCGTCAGCATCTGTGATGTTTGGTTTTCAGAGTCAATCTCAGAGGTTCCTCTACAGGCATCCAAGCACAATGGAGATTCCTTCTCACATTCAAACTATTATTTCTGCTACAATGGCTGGATGCTTAGAGGCATCCTTAACACCCTTTGAGCGGGTGCAGACTCTCCTCCAATCCTCCATTAACTCTCGTCTGTACAAGAATACATCCTATGCTCTTTCTAGTCTGTACAAATCTCATGGGTTGCAGGAACTCTACCGTGGTTTCACCCCTATCCTTCTACGTAACTGTATCGGTGATATTTTGTATTTTAGTGGGAAGGAGTGGCTACGTGACAAAAGTCGTCCTGAGGATCTTCCGTTTGGTAAACGCCGTCTGGCAGATTTTGTGATTGGTGGCTTCCTGGGTTCCACCATTGGAGCGGTCATGTTCCCCTTGAATGTCGTCAAAACGCAGATGCAGTCTTCTGTTGGAACAGGATTTAGAAGTCTTAGATATGCTCTGCGCAGCCTATTAAACGAAAGAGAGCATGCAAAGATTGCTCGGTTATATACAGGGCTTCCTGCCAATTTCGCACGGTCTCTGCTCTCATGGGGCGTTATCACTATGATGTACGAGTGGCTGCTGACTTTTTGAGGAAGTTATCTCACTCTATTTGCTTTTCTGTACAGTGCAACTGGTTCCTCATCTTGTCCTCCTTTACCTTAGATTTGAATCTAGTGCTTCTGGCATATCGTTTTATATCTTTTATAGCCTATTTTTTAAGAGTAGCTATTATTGCCATTGAATCTTTCTGGTTATCTGTTAATGGTATCGCGATGCAAATGAGGACTACCATACGTTAACGCTTGATTCAGGTAGTTACTGTAATTCATCTGTGGTAGTATAGCTTTGTGAGAGCTGATTCTGGTCCGTAGTTGCATTTGTGATCCAGATGTATTAGACGTATTGGATTGTGCTGTGGTGTGATTTGAAAGACTATAGTTCGAGACCATCAGGCAACTTTGGTAGGATTATGGTGTTGGGGCTATATTATGGGGAGCACTCGGAGGGCGTTTGAACATAGTAGGAGTGGTTGACATTTCTTTATTGATGCTAGTAGTAGACAATTGGCGATGTGTGTCCTTACACTGCTAATTTGGCTTCTCATTCCGGTTACATGATTGCTTTCCTTATAATTGTAATTTCGCTGGATCATGGCGGTGGCATTTTAGTCCGTTCGTTTGTCTTCGTTTCGTACTACGCCCTTGGGAGTTGCATTGATGGTAGTGGGAGGTGAGCTTGATGCAGGAAGGCAACTACCCTGAGCCCTTTCACCGGACATCTAGCCTATAGTGAATCTTATCGATGAGATTGCAATTGACACCTGTCCGTGATGGCGACCCCAGGTTTCTCTCCTGCAAGAATGCTATTCTAAAATGAAGCAGCGCTGGTTGTGGTCGTGAAACTTCCGAATTACTTTGTTACGAGGGTTCCGCGGTACCCATAGGGAGGATAGCACTGAAGTGTGAACAAAATGCTCGCAAAAACAGGCGCAAGGCTTTGATTTCGAAAGGTTCTTCGAAGGGCAACTAGGATTGAAATACTGCTTCTAGATCAGTAGTCTTAAGTCCAGCGATAGGGGTGGGATGGTTAGTGCTTGTACTCTTTGCCGAGTTTGTACTTAACGTAGGTGTATCCACCTCTAACAAAACTGTCTGGGGTCATTTGGTCAAATAGTATCTTGGCCGCATTAGAAACTGAAATGCAGTTGGTTCGCTAGTTTTCTGCAGTACCGGCTACATTGCAATGGTTAAGGCTGGAGGTTAACCAAAGGTCAAAAAGAAGAAAGTTGTGCCATGCTGATTGCTGTGTTAAGTTTTCGCTTTGGTAATTGTAACATGTGAGATGCGATCACTGCATTAGCACAGGACAGTACGACTCTCGATTCAATGCGTTGCACCTACTTTGCACTCCATAATGCGATGGTTGGATGTACCTTAATTTTGCTTGTTAGCATTGTTGAAATTATTGGAATCAAATATTCCTTTCGTTTACAATAATTTCAATTCCATCTAATACACAAGATTCATCTTACCAGGATACAATGAACAAGGTAAGTTCTCTCGGATAGATTTTTTCGCTTGGCTTTAAAGGTTGCTCTAAATCAATCCTCGATGATATCAGTTGACAAATACAATTTTGTACATGTTTGGTGCTTCTCTAGTGCCCTCCAGTTCTCCTACGCTTGAATCTTGTTAGTGGGGTAGACAAGTGTGGGATTTGTTGTGATGGAGACAAAGAACTTTTGATGGATAACATTGTCATGCAAAACGGTTGTCTAAATTTTGTTTATTAGTAAGACGGAGTGAATCAACTCCGAGGCCTTGCAGGTGGAGTGGGCGAACCCTTCCTCAGGCTAGCTTGGAAACCCTAGGTGTACTTCTACTCATTTTGACTGTATCCCCATGAGAATTCCCAACAAATCATCGTCGAATTATCTTTTTTCAAAAAATTAACTTAAATAATGGACAAAATGGGTGGGGAGGAAGCACGAGCGGCTATAAGTGCTTAATAACAGACGGCAATTTTCCTTGTAAGTCAGTATCATCTGATGTCTCGGAGTCTCTTGTGTACTATGCCATTATTTTAAATATTTGACTAAACTGGTAAAACATCTACTAATCATGAAGCGGTATTGCGACCGAAATTTAACAAATACAGACCTTCACAGTTAAATGTAAAGGCTTTCCATGTATCTACCCCTCTAGAGTCGATTAGCTCAGTGACGCTAAAGCCACTGCAACTGCAACTGCAAAACACAGTGAGATATGGATTTAAAATCAATAATTATTTCAAATATCTTAAAAAATAGCTCTTGTGCTCTTGAGTAGAAACAATACCATCTGTACAATTTACCAATTATGGTGGGGGAAATCAGCTCTGTTGTTCATTGGTCACGGTTGTGGTGTTTAAGTTTGATATAAGAATGTATTTCCCGCTTGCCATAAGAGAGTTTTTTGTGTTCACAGCACAAAGTGGCGAAACATCCGAATCAGTAAGTAGCTCTCCGAGTTGCTGTTTTCCTTTTTAAGCTCACGAACCGTGTTAACTCTTGTCACTTACTTCCTGCTCTGCTTCGTTGCAGTTCTACTTAGGTTGTTTTCTATCTATTTTGTTTAGTATCATGGCATATGTAGAGGATCTTGGTGATCTTTCATGGTTTGTTATTATCGCTTTTGGTTTTAGGAGCGTGCCAAGGTTCTCTACTTTTATCCTAGTGGTAAATCACAGGATGATCAACTGACGGTTGTCGGATTGTGTGATGCTTTGTTGGCTTTCTCCAATTTTTTCTCTACCTCTTGTACTGCTTTGCACACACGTAATGGGAAACGCTATTTTCATCAAATTTCTTGTGGTGTTTGGGCTGTTTTGGTTAGTTTTTATTGTCATACTTGGGTTTTTTGGGCTGTTGTAATGGAATTTTTCCCATCCAAGTGTTTTACTGTCAATATAAATAGAGCTTTATCATAATGCCCGAATAAGTGGTCTTTATGTGTAGAGTTAACATAGCTCCTGTTATTCTGCTCGTTTGATAGTTAAAAAGTCATGACATTTAAGATGAACCCACAATTTTCAAATACGCCGTCCACTGCCAAGTATAATTTCATCGACTCTCTTTAGAATGTGTTCATTGTTGAACCTACTGTCCCGCCTAATGGTTGCGAAATTTGTGAACGCATCATCGATGACAATGTGATTTCTCACAAATTGGTAAATTTGTGCGAGCGTTTCGAGGTACGTCGCCCTACACTCGGATTTTTACTTCTTCGTTTTAGCTCCTATACGGGCCAATATTGACAACTTCTGATGCGGAAGTAGTCAAGTCAAGAAACAACTTGATGAAATTTTTTAACAAAGTGAGATTTGAGCGCTTGTTGTCAAGGTTCATTGTTCACACAATCTGGGCACATTCTTACACTTTTAGTGACTTAATTTTGCACAATTTGCCCGCATATCATTATCAGTTTCTTTCTTCAGGAGTTGACATTGACTGACCTTAACTTCCACGACATTCCTGACCTGTTCGAGGCTATACAATGGAAGTTTTGGAGTCCCGACAGCATATTAAGCCTGGAAAATCTGGGAACTCGTATTCAACTCTCCTGTCCGTTTCCGGATTCAAAGGCGGCCCTCTTGTACGATGCACAGCTGGCATGGTATGAAACATTATTGGAATATAGATTTTGGCTTCTGTAGGATCATATAGAAGATTAGTTTTGTCTTTTTAAAGAATTTTTTGACTGATTACATGTACAGCAGTCCTCCAGGAGCAAATGATTTGAAGCGATAGCAGACTAGTTAATTGGCTTGTAGAAAGCACTTTCAAAATGAGGTTCTTGTGCATGACAGATCTAGTGCTGGCACTTCTGTCACCAACTTAGTCTGGCATAGACATGAAATGTCATTGAAAATCGTCATCCTTGTTCTCTACCTTGTCTTGCTTAAAGTTGGCGTGGTAAACTGTGGTGATTGAACTCCTGTCGATACGATAGGGTGGCGAATACAGCGTTAAAAATATTATTATTGTGACTTTTGTACCATCGTGTTCACCTTACACAGTGTAAACTGAATGCACCGATTTTTCACAACGTTGGCACTCATTTACATGCTTTGGAAAAGAACATGGTTTTCTGATTTCACCTCATTAATTATCCGCCGTTGTTATAAAAGTAAACTGTGACTTTTTACAAAGGTCATCATTGTCCGTAAAGGATTTTCGACCTATCCTTCGTTATGCAATTTCCGAAATCATGAGTTTGCCCCCTGATCTCGATCTTGCCGCTATCTCGCCCACGGCACCGCACATGGGCAGGTGGGTTTTTTCTTCTCATAGTATCTCATGATGTCCATAATTCCGTCTATTTAGGCTGTTGTATGCATTCTCACAGATTTCTAACTGGTCCACCGGACATGGATAAGCGACTTTGCCCGGCACAGATCCCAGTTCCAATTGTCTTCCAAAAACTTTCGAATTCTGACTATCAAAAAATTCATGTCCTGGTTTATCGCGCCCTAAGAGTGACTTTTTGCCTCTGTGTTGACGGTCAGTGCCTTTTGGCAGTAGTTCATTCTAGTAACTATTTAATGCTTGCGTTCGTTGCTTCGCATCCTGATCCCTTCAAAAAACATCTTTTTTGCTTCTGAATGTAGAAAAGTATGAACTTAAAAAGGAATTCTTTACTGCCTTTGATACAATGTACGGAAGCGCATTGACTGAGTTGTCCACTGAACTCGAAGGGGCTTATAGTGAGAGGTATGTTGGTGCAATTCTTATCTGGTTTTGTAATCATTTTGCTGATCAAGCTTTTAACAGGAGGTTTTCTTCGACGTTGACTTATGTACTAGTCCATTTACCCTCGAGTATACATCAAGACAGGAAATGAACAAATATTGGAGGGTTACTGGCACATACCCCTTTCAACATCCCTTTGATGGACTCACACGAGTAGCTTTGGGGTGTTGTTTGCAAACTTTGGTGTTCTTCAAGAGCCGTATCCTATTCATAAACGAATCTATAAGCTGGGTTCGGGAAATCGCAGATTTCTGCGGTAGATTGTGGGAATCGTGTTTGCCTCATCCGATCTCATGACAGATCAGGCCATGACTGGGCATTTCATATGCCATCTGAGGCTTCACAGGCGTGATTCCTATCTCTGTGGTTTGAACAGGGGCCGTCTTTACTCTCTAACTGCTGTTGTTTGAAGTCTTGATTAAATGCGTCTAGAGCATGCTCACAGTGTACTGGCCATTGTCATCGCCATGGTATTGTCCTTGTTTGAAGTGATGAAATGAAAACTCTCGGTTTAGCACAAGCCTTATCTAAGATTGCGAACTATTTGCTAGAATGATGACGCACTTGCAATGAAAAAACTATGCCGATTTCATGAAAATTCAATTGCAGAGGTCTGGATAGGTCGTGTATTTAAGGCACACTGGAAAGTAATCCTTGACTCAAGGCATCGTGTGGGAAGAGGGGATTTGGTCCTACTAGTCATAATGTAACTATCTGTTAGGCATTTTAAGCTGATATTAGTCCGCCACCTCATTTTCCAGCTGATATAATATAGCTTATTACCATAGCGATTTTCTTCAACGTTAAGGTAAGGATCTAAATCATTCTGTTATAACGCTTTCTTAAAGTCCTTCTTTCGCCCCCGACCTTTCAACCCTTTCGCTGAGTGCCGAGTCATCCTCAAAACTCACCCAAGGCACGACTGATCATTCCTCCATCGAAGGTTTTCTGTTGTGGGAGCCTGAGCTAGTCTCTGTAACCACAAACTTATTCACCCTCCACTCTGGCGGCCTCACTGAAGTTATTCCAGCTTTTGCTCCTCTTTTACCCATCATCTACGCTGGCCGTGAGGACACCATTTCCTGGTACGTGATGTCTTACCGGAATTTAAACGTTCCTTTCTTTACAAACGCATCTTTTCTGAAGTTTGGGTCAAACTTGGTGCGAATATCTCATCAAACTTGAGCCCGACACCTGGCTGCATCTTCGGCGTCTCAATAAGCGTGAAGTTTTCCTTATTTTCATTGGAAAAAAAGTCGACATTCTTAGAGTAATAAGTGAGTTGCCTTTCCTGGTAACTTGTACTGGCATTGTTCGATGTCAAAGACTGTCATCTCCCCCCTTCTGTTTTAGATGAATCAAAACTATTTTGGACGGAGAGATTGGCTGGTCTTTTCTCCGTAAATTAATGCAGTGAGATGACCCTACCACCTTTGTAAATAGTCCACTTCTTTCCTTCCTTCCTTCCCTCCGAGATTCCAGTAATTTAGCACTTGAAACTTCTTTATTGTCAGTTCATGAATCATTTGGCTTTCCAATGAGTAAATATATGCATATTTTGATGAAAAAGGTTGATGATCTCATTTCACTTGTACACAGCTAATGCTATTACCACTGCACTGTCGTCTTGTTCGCTTGTCTAACCGTTGTGACTTAATCTACTTTATGGGTTTTCATGTACTCATCGTGAGCTGGGTCAGAATAGCCAGCTTTACACCATTGATGTGTTAGTTGCTAAAGGATGGCTTCTATTTCGCTCAATTCGATGGTGGTAGGCGGTCAAGGTTTGGGCTGTCCATAAGTAGCAATTTCGTTTAGACTTTCATTTCTTCATTCATCATTTTCTTCCCAACTCAGTTTTGGAAAAGCTGCATAAATCGAACATTTTACAAAAAGCTTTGGGCTGGGATAAAATCTGTGTTAGTCACAGGAGAGATTGACATTCCATTTGACTGAATCTTAGCATTCACGACGAAAAATGAGTTGGGAAGGAATAAGCAGCCATTTCTTAACCGAGCCAAATATTTCCAAGCTTACGGCTACTTATCTTGCTTCCTTCATATCCAACTAACAGTACAGAAACCAACAATTTAAGTTAACTACTTCATCAACTGGTAAATGTAATGGAGTTCCTCTGTCGACACCTCGTCCGTTGTTGTATCCGTCCTCGAGGTCGTGATCCTACCCACTGGGACCGAGTAGGTCTCTACAGTGACGAGGAGGACGGGCGGGAGACGGAGGTTATAATGCCTCTTTACACCTTCGCCCAACCACAGCCGCAGACAGCGGTGAAATTGGATCTCGCTTCAGCCGGTCAGTTTGCAGTGATTGTGAAGAACAGTACGCGTCTATGTGGTAGTGGAGCAGCCCGAGCCACTGCCCCAATTGTGCAAGACAAGGCCTACTTTGAGGTGAAATTGCAGTCAGCGGGCATGTGGGCTGTTGGTCTGTGTCACCCTAAGGTGAGACGAAAATTCTTGTTCCTTCGTTAGCTCCATTTATCAACCAGAAAGATATCATTCTAGGGCCCCAGTTTCTCACTCCCATCCTGCATCCAGTTCCGTCTTAATATTCTACCACATTCGAGAGCCTGGAACTAGTAAAGATTAGATTGTAAGCACAACCTTGAGATTTGAAAGCATGCAGTGTGCGTGAAATTCCAGTGAACCATTGTTCGACGACCTTACCTCATTTTTGTTTCGGCTGAACACCCAACCAGGCCAATCTGAACGTGGCAGATGACGTCCGAAGACAGAATTCGACATGGGTTCTATTCCATGACGGCATCATCTACCACGACTCCATCCCTCTTATGGAATTGGAGTCACATGGAGGAACCTCACCAGCATTAGAGGAAGGCGATGTTCTGGGTGTTTTCTATGACCACACTGAACTTCGATTCGCCATTAATGGAGTGCCACAGTACTTCCTCGATCACGGGCTTCGATGTACCGGGGTAACAAGCGTTCGAGGCACCGTCTATCCTCTGTTGGCTGCTGACGAAGGCGCAGTTCTGGACGTTCGCTTCACCAGCTTCCAGTATCCACCCAGGGAGGGAGGATATACAGAAATCCGGTTGGAGCAGAACATTCTGTAAAACCACCTATTTTTCCACCTCTTCCTTTCCATCAAACCCCCAACCAGTGATGGTTTTCTTACTCTCTCTTCCACGAATCATTCCAACTAGGTACAGCATACTTGCATTCAAAATTAATCGGATGTTTCAAAGGTAGGGGCCGTGAGCTTCAGGGTTCTGCCACTTCTAAATTCCTTGCGTAGCCTCTAGGAGGCGTAATCAGAATGATCCAAATACAGGGCCTTGAGAATGCAAATACCACCTCTGAGCTAATGCAAATCAGCTAAAAGAGGGATACATGTATTCATGGTTACTGATTCACTGTCCAAAGGAGAGGACTACCATTATTACACATTTGCAGAATTTGCTGCTTGTCAACTTCAGGCAAGTGCACGGCGTCGAAACTTGGGATGTTCCAGAATGCTCAACAATTGTACAAGAAAAATGAAACTCGAAGGGAATAGAAACAGAAGCTTATTCTGGGGATGATTGACAGTTGCAGGAGATATACGCGGTGTAGATGTGCACTGCCTATCGACAAAACCTCGAACCCGACAGTGATAATGGCATGATGTCGGATCGCATTGCTTGTCTCCCCAGAGCTCCATTGCATTACTTCCCCTCCCTTGAGTGAAGGCTGCAGCAGTGGATACTTCATTATCGCCTACCAAGACGTAGAAGTGAAGCGGAGTGAAGGAAACGCGAAGCTAGAAGTGAACTCCAAAGGGGCTCTACTATTGTGTGGTTGAAAATTTATGCAGCTCCCAAAGCTTTCTATCGGACACCACTTAGTCTTATGCACGAATCGAAGTGGCTTCCTTCCAGTTGTATCTGATGAAATTCAATCTGCTTGAATCTGCCCTTGACTTAAAGAAAGCCTTTCACTTCTCAGCTCGTAAAACCATCATTCTAGATCTACTTTTCTACAGTAGTGTACAAAAGAATCCATAAATGAAAGGCCAGATAAAGATAACAGGACACCAACAAGTCCACGACAGGCATTCGATAAAACTTGCGCATACAAAATTCTTACCACAGTCGACATTGTTCACAACGTTCCTCTTAGCTCATGCTTGTGGATTTCCTGTCCTTTGAGTTTCCTGGGAAAAAGGAATGCCCAAAAGCACCAAAAACTCTCTAAGATGTCCAGCATTGAGTAGAAGTTTGAGCAGTACATGGCACCGACGCCCTTCACTTGCTAAATATTCATCCATTTTCAATTCGCTAAACTCTTGTAAATTCTCAGGAAAATCTCATCAGTCCGTCAAAATGAAAAAAAAACAGCAAAAACAAAAAGGGCAACGAACGGCTTTAGGAATTGTATCAAGCCTCACACAGGCCAGCCTCAATAAATTAACATGTGACCATTGGAGGGAAGAAAATGATGCAAACAGAGTAATATAATGGAAAATTGAGTTTAGTTGAATGCAGACAGAAGGAGGGGTAGAGAGAAAGCACTTAAAGAAAAATGAAATAGAGAATCTCATTCAAGACAAATGAGTTGTGGTGTAGGTGGCTTCAACCGACCATTTTCTTCCTCTGCCACATGAGAAGAGGAATCCAATTCATCGGAGGGCGGAGCGGGCATCTGATCAACTAAGGTGGACGATACCAGTGGACCCCCAGGATTGGCGTACTCCACAGAAGGTTGCATTGGTGGTGGTGCCAGTGACTGAACCATGTCTGCACAATAGTAAGCACACAAGTCCAATGAAAAACTGCATGGATTTGACTATCATAATGAATCGAATTAAGTGCACTCACGATGCATGTCAAAGGTGTCAACCGGTTTTTGTTCAATTGGTGCCTGCTGCTCATCGCTTCCATTGGTTGCAAGAACACCAGGATTCGGGTTTTCAATTTCTGCCGAGGGCTGTGGTTGGTGTTGTAGCGACGGGTCGTAGGGTGGCTGAGGTTGCTGGGGGTAATATTCGGGGCCTTGGGGATACCCCATGGGGGGAGCACCATAGGGCATCAAAGGGTGGACAGGAGGCATTGAGTTGTACGCTGCAGGTTGTGCATACCCATACTGACCATATTGCTGTTGGAAGGCCATAGACTGTTCCATCAACTGTCGGCTTTGGGCCTCCATAGCGTCCTTCAGAGAAGTAGATGATTTGTTTAGCAGAACTCAAAGATTTGTGTGGGTATTTGCGCCTCTATCTATGCAATTGAAATATTTCACACATCCCGAACGCATTGCAAAGGCTCAATTGGTATAAAAGGCTGCTTTCCACTGTCAAGCCTCAAACTTCCACAACTCAGGCAACACGCTGCATCAAAATATGATAGTTGCAAGGTCCGGCTCAACAAAGTGGGACGGAGTTTATATAATTACCAACTGTCTTTGAGAAAGACTGCGATGATCTAGAGACTCAACACGTCTCAGTTGATCCATTCACAAAAGGGACCCAACAAGTGGACCACTCTGCAAAGACTAGAACAAGAATCTAGAAACGCTAAGGACAACTTTCATATGAGGGAGATAATATGAGGTTGAGGGATCTATTCTGCCATGTCAAATTCGTCTTCCTGCTGCATATCAACTTCTATCCTGATGCTGCCAATGATAGCATGCCTAATGGCGTCTTCAGAATAGAACCCCAAAGGCATACAGCTGTGAGTTAAAAAAAAGAGTAAGCTGTAAAGAAGCAACAAAATTAACTAAATCGAAAAGCGTAAGTACAAAAAAAACTAACAAGAACAGAATCACTACCATTCTTATACATTCCTTGCAGACTTCTTATGTTAGAATAACAGCTCGCAATTATTTGCTCAAAGGCTAACCTTTATATTGGTAGGTCAAAGAAAGCTTTAATTGACAGCAAAAGAAACGATTGCCTCTAAAAAAGGCTTACCATTTTCTGTTGCCGCAAAACCTCCACCTTCTGCATCATCAAAATCTGACGTTGACGATGAGCCTCCTCTTCCTCACGTCGCCTCTGCTCTGCGTAGTCCCTGCGAAGATCGTCTAAGGCCTCGCGTGCTTCGCGTATCTGTGCTGTTTGATCTTGCAATTTCTCCAGAGAGGCTAAGGTGAGTGAACGGCGATAGATACACGAATTCACTACCCCCATCAAAACAGGGAACAATCAAGTAGGCGTAGGTGCAAATTTAGTCCGTAACTGGGAGGGTTCGAATGTGGCACTACCACAGGCACATGTAAGTGCCAAGTATCGCAACACCAACACACCAACAGTGAACACATGCAGTGACGTTCGGTCCACTCCAATCCAGTCTAGTCATCTTCAGTTTAAGTGGAAAGGAGAAGCAATGGTAGATGACAGAATGTAGTGCTGAATAAGGACATAAAATCCGAACTTGTCAACACCTCGAATTACTATAGAGGAGTATGGACAGGGTTGTACGTAAGTGGTGATTGGGACAGTGATAATCTCAAGCCTACAGCCTGGGAAGTTGATCTGCGCGCGAAGCACCTAATCCTGATACATAACTGAAGGCGACTATTCTGGGCTTAAAGGTGATGGACACAACGCAATCAATCAAAAACGTGTGATTACAGAGTTAGCACAATGGGACCAGTATATCTGAGAAGATGTGGCTATAGTTGGCAAAGCTATGCGACGTCATCTCAAAGGGTTTTCATGACGAGCAAGGAAGGAGCAAAGGCTAAATCACCACCACTAATACGAACCTGAAGTAATTGAGAGTGAACGAAGCACAGCAATGCATCAGAGCATAGGAACAGAAAGACATCGTCATTTCCCAAAAAATTATCTGCTTACACATTTGAAGTAATTACATCTTGCTAAAGCGGACTATACAACAAACGAAGGGAAATAAACCGAAGAAAATTCACCGAGTGACCAACTTACTGCGTCTCACTTCCAGATCACTGGAGTATTGCATCAATTGCAGATTCATTTGATGCAGAGTTTTGAAAAGCGTCTGTAGAGTGGAATCGGTGGCAACCTGCCGACCACGTTGACTGCAGACTCGCATGCGGTTGCTGAAAACATCAAGACTCTTGCGAAGAGCAGCGAGAAATTCCTCTTGTTTGGCCGAAGTGAGGGGAGGGACACCCGGAAGTGTACTACCTTCTGGTGGCATCTCGACGGACACAAGAGCCCTCTCCAAATCCTGTGACTTTTCATTCTGTTTTTGAAATTTAAGCACATATTTGCACTATGTATTTATCCTCATACCGCCACAAAATCATAATTAATCTCCAATGTACACAGTAAAGGACAAGACGATGTTGTTAAACGAAGACAATTAAAAGAAGTTGGTGCGGAGGCCTGAGAATTCAGCTTGGATCAGAGTCCTTAAATCTACTGCATCGGTAGCCTACCTAGTAAAACTCTCCCAGTTGTGAAGGTGTTTGAGGTACTTAAGCCACATATTTGTACGTCAACATGGGTGGGAACTGTTCACCAAACTTTTGGAAGCGTTGCTGGATTGTTCATCATTCTAAACAAGGATGTTTTAGTGCAACAATACCGCAAATCTGAAGCAGCTTTGAGGACTCCGACTAAATTTTATGAAGCAGAGCTCACATCAGCTCCCTTGAGATTTCTGCTCTTTGGTTCCCCAAAGTTTATTGCTTTATCATATTGCCGAAAAAATTGATCAAGAAAACTAGTTCAAAAAGTATGTAGAAATTCAGTGGAGATAGGTAAATCTTTAAAAAATCTTAACGCACCCATAAAATTGAAGAAAAAATCACTGATGCTCAGTATTAGTATTTGGTTAAAAAATTTACCAAATTTGCAGTCGTGGACAAAAAGTGACAAGAATGAGAGAAAAAACAAAGTGACCAATACCGAGGTATCAGCAACACTGGGAACATAGTCTGGATTGAGAGGAGGCGGAAAGGCAGGCGCCGAGGGACTGAAACCGCCTATACATGAGTCGTTGTCTGTCGCAGCGGCACGACCAGTCCAATAGTTTCGGTTCAGGTAGTGGGCCAACTCGGGGTCCACCTCTGTAGCTAAATCACTAGCCGCATCCGACGGCGGTTTTATTAAAGATATCAGAGGCACAGCAGAGGCCGATGACTTGGGCGATTTTGTCTGCTGTTGTGATGTTGATGGTGTCTGAAATTCAATGAAGGAAGTGACAATGTCAAGTGACATCAGTCCCACGCTTCCCAGATCACATATCAACAGGGACTCGAGTCGATCCACAAACGAGTCAAAAGATTGCGCGATGCCGTAGACGTATATGTGGCGGTTCCAGTTGCATAATAAAAACCTATCTCGAGGAGCGGGATTTTATAGTGGAAAGTTGGGTCTTATAACTCGTAACCAGTCGTGACGGATTGTGTTGTGTTTAGTATCGCCGAAGTTTTAAAATCTGAGGCTGAGGTAGTCTGGACAAGAGTACAGGCTGCACAATTTTATGAGCTTTAGTGGAATTCAAAGTAACTTATTCTCTATATAATGGAATACAAAGCTTCAAATAAGGGCTAAAAAGGTGATTTGTAGCGTGAATGCGCTACTCCACCACTGCTCAGATTCAAGGTGAAGTTACGTGCCTGACGTCATTTGTATGTGGAAATTGAATGAACTGGTGATTAACTGACCAATGCTAGTGTCATTTAAGGACATCAGAAACTACTGAATAAAAAAAATTTCAGAAAAGAATGGAATAAAACATATATCCTGACAAGTGAATCGATTCCACAGTAGGATGGAAGAGCTGTACGCAGCCCTACGTATGTAGGCGCAAGTTACAAGCGTCAGTAAAATCAAGCATGGGGTAATGGTGCAAAGTTTGAGCTGGAGTAAGGAAACCTTTAGGACTTTCTACCGAGGCGTTTAAGACGACTACGCATTCATAAAACAGAAAAACCTTGGTTCACCAATAAAATGACGAGGGTGCATTAACAGAGCTTTGTAAATATAATTTCGAGTGCGAGAAGGGGACAAGTGGTTGTCAACTCCAAGAACCAGAAAAACCACTGCTATTTCTGCCATGACGAGTCTAGCCTACTTATTTGTTTCTTAACAGATGAAACCATAGTTTGGAGTTTCGATTTGTCATGCTGACATTTCAAGATTTTTCGATTCTTTAGCAGGGTGTTGCATGCCGTAAGCTCTCTGAAGTACTTATGCAATCACGGGGCATCATTAAATCTAACGCCTTTATCCGAGCTTGAAAATAAGTGAAGGATAAAATCACACACAGAACTCATGAACAAGACGACTTGGGTGTAACAATAGGGATAATCATCCTAATCATAAAACTGTCACAATGCTGTGCAGAGCGTGGTGTAGCGCAATCAACTTTGGCCTTTTATCAACGCAAATTATTTTGGGTAAATTAGAAAAAGGTAAAGAAGAGGTTTTGGATACCTGGCTTTGGTTCTGGGGCTGCTTCATTTGCTTGGATTCAGCCTCACTAGCGCTGAGTGCGAGAGCCAGTTGAAGATCCTCCTCCTCTTGCAAACGCAGTTCCTTCTCCTTAGCAGCTAGCTCCTTTTGCTTTTGGAGCTTTTGTTGAAGCTCCTGATGCTGGAGCTGTTTTTGTTCTTGTTGATGATGCTAAAAGAACAAACCAAAACGCCAATACCTCACTTTAAAAGAGGCTTCACAAATGGGAAGAACAGGATGGGAAGAATAGCTGACTCAGAAGCTACGATGCTAAAACAAGTAGCATTGTATACTCAGGTTAGTATGCCTGCATTTGAAATGGAAATAGTTTGAATTGGCGTGAAAGTATGACCACAGAATACACCGTGAGCATGGAAAGTTGCAGGTAAAAGTAAGCATTGGGTTAGGGCGTAGAAAACTAAGTGACAAATTTGGAGTTGATTCAACGAGGAAATGAAAATGAAAATTCGTTTTCGTGACGCATGTGAGACCACTTAAAAAGCGTTTTTATTGTGAGTATCAATTAGTAGACCTGCAGACTACCGTATGTGTAGTCGATTTCTGGAAGAAATTAATATTATGGTTGAATTACAGTACCAACAGCGTGAGTGCTTTACAGCATTAAGCGACATTACCATCTCCTTTAAAAATTCACGCAGAGTTCCATGCTGAAAACAAACTTAAAGCTTCGAGTTGAGGGTTCTTAGAGGCTCAACCAAAAAACAGAAGTTTAAAAATTCTTCGCAAATGTTAAAAGCCAATACTTCGACAAACCTTGACTTCTTTTTTGCGGGCAGCATTGCTGCTTCCACCAGCTGCTAGTCTAAAAAAACAGGGGAAAAATATCAAAATAAAAATAATTGAATACTTAAGTCTCGCAAAGACCATCGCTACTGGAAGATTATAGAAATGAGGATTGAAGGTAGGAGGAACTGTCCCACCTGTTGCTAGGGGTAACAGCTTGTTACTAGAGAGAAATTAATTCTATTGGACAGTCTGCATCCACTGGTAGTGAGCTTTGAACCTGTTTAAATAGGAGATTCCATGCTGGGTGTAATGTTTTCTTCTGTGAGTTTTACTTAAGACCAATTGAATATCAAAGAGTAGCAGCAATGAGTAGCACCAAAAGAGGAAGGGTTATTGTAATGACGACAACCCATGGATTTCTAGATGTGGATACCAAAAAGTGGTGGAGGTACAGATTGAAAACAAATCGAAAAGGCAACAATAAAGGTCTCTTATAGTACTTAGTATGAGTTAACGGGCCACAAAATACTGGGCGGTTATTTTATTTTTGGAAAATACAGACAAAACATATCGAACTGCAAAGTCAAAAACATGGAGTCTACTTGGAGGTCTTACTTCTTGAACATCCTCGAGAAGAATGACGAGAAGAACCACCAAGTAGAGAGGACCAATGACAGAAAAGCGTCTTAGCTGAATGTATAAGTGGATAAACCAACACGCCGGTATAAACCATCACGTGTCACTTTGTGCTACACGATTTCGTATCTGCAGTGGTAGTAACCCAACGCTACCTTCAGGCGGTGTGGACTTGAGTGTTAATTAATTCAGCACCATTACGAAAAGTGGCCAGAAGTATCCAGAAAATCGTTTAGAAAGTATCTTCTCATGCGCTTATGCATTTATTGTTAAAATAATTTTTTGAAGGAAGCATAAAGACTCACCTTGTGAGCTCAAACAGGCAATTATCGCAAACTCGGACTTCTTTCTCGATGCCATATTTAGGAATACCAGCTCGACCAGTGGTGCATTCTCCACAGAATACATTCCCACAATTCCGACAGTGATGCTAAACACGCAAAGACATGTTATATTCTGCTACCGAAGTAATTTGTTATTAGTACAGTTGATATGCAAAACTAACATCAGTATACGAAATACAAAAGGAATAAAATAGGCAATATGCTGTTTCGGTTAAGCTACAAAATTCAACATAAATGACGAATTGCAGTTAGTTAGGCTTCAACACAATTGAACGAAGGATTCATGAAATAATCTTCACTACACCTAGAAACGCAGTCCTTACCTTTCTTCGGAATGTTGTGAAGGTAGATTTACAACGGAAGCACTCATCTCCATCCTTCCAGTTAGGAGCAACTTCAGCAGAAAACATAGCCTCACTTTCATGGAATGGTGGCAGAGGATATCCGGATCGTTTGACCTCATCATAAGCTTCATGCAGGAAGTGGTAGTTCTCATTCTTTTTAAATGCAAATTCCCAGTTCTGAATAAATCCAAATATGCGCGAACGGACCTCTTCATTTGTCTAAATATTTAAATGTGAAACACTATGTACTCAAATACGTGTGTAAATTCAAGGAGGCTTGTAACAAAGTCAGTTCCCAGAACCTCATCATGAATGGGCGTACCACAGTTTTTCATGAGTGCTTCAAGGACCTCAAGCAATGTATTAGTAAAAAGCAATTACTGAAAGCCCAAGCATCAAGACGTGTGGGTTTTCAGGATTAAGACGTTTTTTGAGGCTGTTGATTGCATCTTTTGGCCTAGATATTAACATAATTTAGTCATTTCTTACGTTACTTCTTGACCGCGCACTGAATCACATATAGTAAGATTTGTCTCCCAATCTGCTTCCATCAGCAATTCGCTGGTGGACTTCGCTAAAGGAAATAACTCAGAAATGATAAAAATATTACCTAATAACTTGTCAAAACGGGAATTGCGAAACATCGTAAGTGAACAAACAAAAGATGCGCCTATACCCCTAGCCGACTTGAACGACTTTCATGAGGCCGATTTTTACATGATACTGTAATTAGGTAAAAATACAGAAAACTTACTGTTTTGGGCAGCTCTTAAATAATTATTATTTTGGCACTATTTTTACTTTATTTTAAGTATCTTTATTGCATTTCCGTTGTTTAGCAGATCATCATGTTTTCCCGAGAAGCAAAATTATAGACCAGAACAATTGTACAATGCTGCCATTGTAATACTTATATTCTTCGATCTGATCTCTTGCTCCGAAACTCGTTTCATATTCAAGAGAGAAAGTTAAATTTCCCACCGCAGCTATTTTTTTGTTTTGGTGTGCCACCCTAGAGTCTTGAGATTTACCACTAGGTAGAAGAAGGCAGCAAGTTGGGATTACCTCGTTCAAATTGGGCTATGGCTCAGCTTAAATATCAGCCGGGAGCACAAGAGTAAGACGAATGCTAACCCTACCGCCAGTCAAACAGGTTGCCGCATAAACAATTACAATGCACTTAGTTGCGCCAATAAAGAAAGCGTGGTCGGAGAATTTTATTAACGGGGGTACGCGATTCTTGATTCTATGCAACGAAGGCTCAGGGCAGCATCTTTCGCGTTTAGAGGCAGTCTTGCAAATTTTTGATGCCATGCTCTTGGTTGGAAGTGGGTTGCGGCTGTAAGCCGAAAATGTCTTAAGCTTTAGTGAGTAACGAAGACACACAACCTTTCGTGTTTCCTTCTCGTTAAAATATGTGCATATGGTCCCTAATATTGTGCATATCAACCCAAGTTGCATACAATTTTTGTTCCGGGCTATCAATTTTGGACTAATCAACCTTGAACTCAAAAAGCAAGCACAAATGGATATGTAGGCAATGTATTTTATTCTAGCGTTCGCTAAAAACACCTGTTCTTGTTTTATCATCAGTAATTTCTCTTAAAATAAGGGGAGGGGGTAGATGTAAATCTTATCACCTTGTCAACATTGTAAATAACCAACACACTATATAAGGCATCATGCTGAAAACTGGCCCATTAGTGTACAGAGTGCACAATGACAATGATGAGCAGTAACCGTGTAGATGAGATAGAAATAATGTATATCCATAAAAAACAAGTGGCAGCATTATAATTTAACTCGCTTTTGTCCGTTCTTCTAACTCTGGATTTTTTGAAGTAATGGCTAGCTGGATTAAAACATGCAGCATTAACCTGAACGACATGGACGATATAAAGCTTACCTGGCATCCATTTAACGGCAATAATAATGGGACTTCAAAACAAAAGGACTCCAAAAACCACCATCTCTCGTAACATTTCTCATTTTGGACAATTTGACGCTCATGTCAACATAGAAATTATGTTAAATGTCTCCGTGCAGCAGCAGCACAAATTCAAATATGGTCCGAATCCTTCAAAATCGAATAATCTTCATTTTAATCGAGAGCCATGGTGGCAATCATTGACATTGTGGTTGTAGCATCAACATCACCATCTTTAGACTCCTATTTGACCGCCTCCAAAGGAGTCTGTCACTTTTGGGTGCTTCACTGGACATGAGAGTACACAATACGAGAGATGAAGTACAAGAGGAGAGCAGAAGGAGCTATTTCTTGTTCTGGGGCCAAATCGGCCACCGCGAGCACGGCGTTCGAATCTAAATCTGACCTCTGACGTATGGCATATACTTTTGACAATTCGTACCTATTCTATCCGTCACACAGAGTTTTCACCTTTCCTTAGGTACAATATATTGCAATTAAGAAGATTGGAGGTGGATTTTCTTAAAGCTTTACTCAGGTGTCATAGATGCCCCAATGTAACTCTTCCCTAATGCTCAAGCCTCCTTAAAACGCTGCTAGGGTTCACGTTCTCAAACTTTGCCCTCTTTCATCGCCAAGGAAAATCAATCTTTCATTCACAGAGCCACCGGCAAAGTCCTTAAATTAAAGCTTTCTTTTGTATATATCATCTATTGGGTCTGGATTGGGCTTGTGAATATGCACATCGTCTTGTCCACAGCGTTGAGAGACCGAACAATGCTTCACAGAGTGACAGATTCAAGATATTTCCGCAGACTTTAAGTAGCGAATAAGTAAGACCAAAAATGAAAAGGCTTTTCGATTAGTGGGAAGAAGAGCTTAGCAATGATCTCCTCCATACGTTTTGATTGAAAGTTTACACGACTAAATGTGGAATTTTGTTCTGGCGACCAATGCTTTTCACCTCGTGCCTATTTAAATTGTTGGTAGAGAAGAACAAATCCACATAATCTTTGTGTTAGGAACTCTCAAAGACCGACCCCTTAATCCCGCGATGGAAGATGTTCTGTATTCATAACGCCGTCTTGAAGCAACTCAAAATTACAGATCTCACAGCGCCAGCCTAATCATGGAGTAAGAGTGTGGTGAACAGAGATGAAACCAGAGAGACAGACCTCTCTAGTAAAGAGAATGACTAACTGGAAACGTTGGAAAAGAGGTTAAATGAGTGCGACGCAACACCTCTCATAGAGGCGCGAAATAAACGGGTGTGCAAGCAAAGTTTATAGAATTAGATAAGACTTAAATAGAAGGTTCAATAGTGGATGAGGTTGTTCTTAAGTCGATATATATTGTCTTCCGCAATTGTAAATTTCGACAAACCAGTCTTCCAATAACTGACATTCCCATTTACTATTTGAATCCAAGACTATTCTTGCAAATTTGGGGCACTTAAATCAATTGCTTGGTGTTATATCACGTCTATTTACACAACCTAATTTCCGAATCTCTTGGCAGCTTAGCAGTTTTTTGAAGATCGCGGTTGTCAAGTCGGTGTGGCTGTCATAGCATCTATTATGTCCTAATCTACCTCACAGCGCACATAAACAAATACAATAATTAAACCCATTAATAGAAACGTTTTTTGAGTAACTTCAATAATTCTAAGGCCTTTGTGTCTCATTCCAAGGTTCATGAGAGGCTATTAAAACGATCTTGACTTTAGCACCCTACGTGAACAACGATCACTGGGAAAGACAAGTTGTTTGCTTTCTTGCATTTAAAAGCTGACAATTGTTTATTCAAAATGTGCGATACGACCGGTACTACTTAAATTCCTTTATCATTAAACAAACCGCAGTGCTGGGTCAAAGACGGGCGCAGCTGTGCAATCCTAGAAGCAGAACTTATGCGGTTTGTGGAGGTCTCAGTGGGCCATCAAATACTACAATAAGTAGTCAAATACCGTATCAACTGACAATTTTAGAAATCATAAGGTCCGCTTATACTTACAAAAATTATTTCGGAATGCGAAGACGCGTTTTGCAAATTTATATATATTCTCTCTCTCTTGGTACGTTACAATATTTCATTATTTCTCCGACATTTTGACAAACTCTGAACATCCGTTTAACGCAGCCTAAACAATGGTTTCTTTGGTCTTCCCGTTGAAGCAAACTTTTTGCCGACAATTGGTCTAATTCTGCATAAACTTTACTACATGACTGATAAAAACTGCGGTCTTTCCTTCTTCTCCGCCTTCCTCCTCTTCTTCTTCTTCTTTAGAACAGTAGAAAGTAACGTCTATCATTCTTTACCAAGGTTAAAAAATAGGATGGTTGTTCGAAGTGTTTCGAGGTGGTTTAATGCAAGGTAGCAACAATGACAAGGACCACTTCGGTCATTGTCCACCTACCGGAAGTTAGAAGGCCAGCAGAACAAAAACAAATTAAAATACTCGACTTGATTGCAATGACAGTGTCAAATGGAGGACCCAAGACAAGAAGTAGAGAAAAAGGTGTTTGCATATGTGCTTGTTTGGTACTTCCTTTTCTTTTTTTTTTACTGCATATGACTGCTTACTGGCCACCAGTGGCAAACGACAGCTCAAGTGAAAATAAAAACAATCATGAGACACCAAGGCGGGAGTAGAATGCTTAGTAGTGGTACATATATGTATATATAAAGGCGAGATGCAAACATTAACACATCTATCCCGAGGGCTACGATTAGTGGAACGCGAATTAGAGGGGAAAGGGAGAGAGGCAAGGGAAAAGGGAAGAAGGGAAAAAGGAGAAGGGTGAGGAGGAGGAGGAGGAGGAGGAGAAGGGGAGGAAGAGAAGGGAGAGAGGGAACGATGGAAAAGGACAGTAGGGGGACGCAAATACTTGTACTCTTATATATAAAATATAAGGCGCTGTTTTGCATTGTGAACATTACATTTTAGACGTAGGGATTGAGGCTGTTGTCGCGCTCGGCTGAAGAGCGTTGAGTCAAACGGCGTGAGCGATGGCGTTCACGCATTTTTGAGCTGCCAGCTGGACGTCGCTCCTCCAGCAAAATAGTTCTTTTGTTGGGTTCCCCTATTTGAGCTTTGATCCACTGTTCCATGTTCTCATTCAGCAGAACCACCTAGTGAAGCAGATGTGCTAGTGACACTGTTTACTTTGCTACTTTAGTAAGTGAGTTATCACTCACCTGTTCTTGGAGTTGTGAGACAGCCTTAATGATGGAGGAGAGAGCTCTCTGGCTTTCTGTGATGAGTGATCGGACGTGAATCACCTCCTCCTTGATCCTTGCGTTGCCTGCAGCGCTATTCAGCTGTTCCGACTGACTCTTTAAAAGGAAACAGAATGACACTTAAAGTCAGAAATTCGTGTCAATGGATTGAAGAGACACAATGGCGGAAAGGCTTGTGGAGTTAGTTTTAACAACTGAAATACTCCACTCGAAGCTAGCACTAATCAAGACGTTGCAGGGAATCTTCAACACGCTAGCCACCGTTGCTCGTAAAAAGAGGCCAAATGGGCGAAGGTGATGGGAGAAGCAAGTGCTGGGCAATTCTACTCCTCTCACCAAGTGATTTACTGATGCATCATACAAATTAGCAAATATTTTGCCTCCCTTGACAGGCGAGGTCAAATATCCCTCCCGCTAATGTGTGAGAAGATATTATCAAAATGTGTGCCTCCACATATCATTCCATCTTTGCCCTAGGTGCAAGAAGATTTCCCCTATTTGCTTTCTATCCATTGAAAAAGGGTAAAAAAATATTCTTTGTGCTTCACAAAAATAAATTACTACAAACTTATTAAATGCAGATGGAACGAGCCTTGGAGAGTGGAGTGAGGAAAGACAGTCTCTCACCTTTGGCCTTAGGTCGTGGATTGGTTAGATCCCCAAAGAAATCAGACATATTCACCCTTATTTGGTAATAACAATTGTCCAAGTCTGCATTTGGGAGAGAAACACCTTCATGACACTCAAATGGGTAAAGCTGGTGACACCTTCAGCTCGCTCTCCTCCATTCCACTGTGCTGCTGCCTCTCACTCTCAGTTTAGAGGGAAAAGTTTTCACATCACAGGTCACTGCCTCAAGAGCCGATCATTACTTGCGCCTCCCTATCGCCATCTCACATTACGGAGCAGACACGACATTTACCAACATAACACCCATTAACTCGGTAGAACCGAAAAAAGGAGCTCATTTGCATTCTCTGCTCCTGTTTGGGGTGAATGTCATTTTGAAGGCTCAACAGAGAGTGTGAGGGAAAGAGAGAGTGAGAGAGAGGGACGGCTGCAATTAGTTTTCTTTTTTTGGACCTCAAAACATTTGCATTTAAACAGGGTAAAAAAAAAACTTTGGGGAGGTTAGTTTTTTAGTGTTTTATGGGTGATGAGAAATGTTTTAACGTTTGAGCAGAATGGAAGTACTTGACTTTCACCTCAAGCCTACGCCTCGAAGTGTGTAAAACGTGAAAGTCAAGGACAACAATTAAGTGACCGACTTAATGAAGGTCATTTAAGTCCATTGTTACCTGGAGATTCTGAAGGCGCATATCGAGGACTTTTTGAGAGCGTTGGATGCCATCCAATTGGGGTAATTGAATGTTAAATGGTGCCATAAAACCGAAAGGAATTCCCGCTCCTCCGACAATGGAGCAGCGTTTGGTGCCGCTGCGTCGACCTCTTCGTGTAGACGGACCTGTTGTGCCACCCCCAGGTGATAGACTGTCACAGAGGTTACCGGCTGGCGTACTTCGGGACTGGGACATACCCACTGGTGGGATATCGTCTTCAGCATCTGTAGTGGTCAAGATAACCTTACTTGGGGCTGCAGCGCCTTACTCATGTCAAATAATCACATTCAGTCCAAATATCTTGCACAATTCGGACTTCAGAGGTGTTTCAAGGCGATAAAATTTTATGCCATTTAGTGGTCCCAACCACGCAGATCGGCGATTACAGCACGCTCAACTTAGAGCCACATACTACTAACACTTTGCGTTTTTTCCTATGTCTTTGTTTGACAAAAGCAAAGTGAAAAGCTTCCCATTAAGTGACGGTAAAGAAAAATAACCCAACGAAACTCAATCTCGAGGTTTGTCAATGTCATACGCATGCAATCTCCTCCCGTGTAGTTGGAAGACAACATCAACAGTGACGCTAACTTAATTATCAACATGCGTGCTTTTGACTTCTCCATCTAATTTGATTTATTGTTTTCTTTATATTACGGAGAATTAACTCCAGAATTGATAAAGCTAGAGCCCAGGTTGATGGCCTACTTTCCTTCCTAGTGGCTCTACTTGCTGGAGCCGATACACATCAAGACTGGCGCAGCAAGAATGGTTGAAGACAAACCACAACAGTTTAAGAAGCTTAAAAACTTAACCTCATACTGGTTTAATTTTGAGCTTACTTTAAGCTGCTTCACGTACCAGCAAAATCCATGGCACGGTCACCAGCAGCATACATATCTGCAGCTGTCAGATCGTCGGCACGAAGGTACATGCTCTCCTTAGGCTTTTCACCTTCATCAAAGAAAATACTTTTTGGTAAGGTACCTCTGGGGTCATAAACAGCATTATCTTTGTGCAAATTTATCATATTACATAGAAAATGAGTGGAAAGCTAATGAATAGGGATGATACCACAGCACGGCAATAAATAGTGTCCTATTGCGCATTAATTACCACCGCACATGCCTCGGATCTGTCCCGTGAAGACTTGGTTCACCAGTATGGAAGGTAATCGAGATAGTGTGCAAAGGTGGAGAGAAAAGAAGGCTTGCAATCTGAACTCGGTTAAGCTACTAAGAAGATTTAATTATGAGAAACACAACCACTCACTAATGAGACCTATAACTTACTGTTGTGAACGCTCTAAAACTGGCCGAAATCATATCTGTGTCATTGACCTTTCCAGCATTCATGTGTTCAAATTTACAATCCCTCCGATTTAGGTTGATGTGCAGAGTATCTGCTGTACACAATCGGTTAGTGCCTAGTTTCCTTAGTTAGCTTAGTAAGTTTGCTCCCACGGGGAGCATTAAGAAAGTCATGGTAGCAGAACAGTCTACGCCGAAACATTCCTTACATTGACCAAAGAGTTTATAAAGTGCTCAAGAACCTGTTATTTCTTTCATTTTTGACTCTGATAATCTCGAATAGCCAACCAAATTATGCAACGAAAGAAGCTGCAAACGAGGAGTGGAAATATAAGCAAATTTTTTCGCTTTATTTAAGTCCAATTTTTTCATAATGCACAATTTTTTGTGCCATCTGCACATATCCTGAGTAAACTGAGAAAAAGGGTCACTAAGGCAATAAATGTGTTATCATAACCATCAAACTAACATATTGCTGAAGTTTTGCCAGTTCACTTTCACGACTGTGACGCAAAAGCAGTCGGACTCTCCCATTTTCACAGCGCCGAAGCTCATCACATTACCATGAATAGTTTTCCTTTTCACACTTCGCGTAGATTTGTTTTTCTTGTTAATTTTATGACATCGAGATTACTAGACATTGTTACACAATTAAATATTGACCTTGGGGACGGGAGCCTTTCGCCTTTTCATAATAAAATTTGAACCAAAACAGTTTTGCCACATTGTTAGTCGAAATTAGACATTGGGAAGTCGAAACTTACCTTCGGTATCCTTGGCTCGTTCTCTCTTGAAGAGATATCGCCTCACCAACCGTTGCATAATATCCGCGTACGAGGTTTCGTGGACTTCAAGGTCTCGGTTTTTGCAAACCTTCTCCCGCTTTGTCTAAAGGCGGATATTTAACCTCTTCAATAGGTCCTCTTTAGTTGTGGGTCTCATCACTCCTGACTGACATCTGGTTATTGGGCTTTTTTTACAATGACTCTATTGCAACGATGTAGCTGCTAGCGCTCTTAAACAGTCATAAAGGAACGCCCCTGTCAGATGATGACGAAGAAGAAGTGGGGTTCATGCTTGCCAAATCACCAGGCCTTTGCTATTGCCTCTACTATACGGCCCGGAAGGTTGCATCCCAGGCGTTAACTAGACGGAAAAGTGTTTAGTGAATTAATAATTTGTCAGATCTTAAAAACGACACCGTAGCTCTCCTGTACGGATACTCAAGTTATGTGTTCTTGTGAATAATGAACGAGAGGTAGAGCTTGGGAACAATTGAGAAACATTCCCAAAGTAGTAATATATTTTCCTCTTCTGGTTAACACAAACATTCCTACCCTAGTCTAATGAACCACTGACTTTAAAAGCACTTTATAGAAGATATTTTGGATTGAATGCCAAGTTGTGGAGACTCGACAAGTTTCGAACTACGAACACAATGGAACAAGCCTTCTCCATTCGTAACTTTCAAAAAATCTCTGGTGAACGAAAGAAATCGTGAGATGAGCATTCTGAGGTTTTAGGTGGGCTTTGATTCTGAGAAACTTTATACAACCCTATTCGTGGGAGCTCCAGTACAGTGAGGGGTCGATTTAATGACTCTACTTATTTCTCTCCTGAATTACTACGTACTTCCTCCCGAGACAGCGGACTTTGATACTTTCCAAATGGATTTAAGGAGTGGAAACAGACGTATCTGACTAAGTTGTCCATTTTGCAATGCTTCATTCGACTGGTCGATGGTACTTTTGGCGACTTTACCAAATAGTGTCGATTGGTCCGTGCAGCAAAAGATGGGTCCTTAGGTGGCAAAAAAAATATTAATAAAATTTACAGAGCACAGTCTTCCTTGTTTGGTGTAGCAAAAGATTTTGTTATCTGGTCAACTAGTAGTTTTCTGTTTCTATGGTTAGCCCTACTACACAATTACTTGGTGAGAAGATGGAGGGGTTGCCCGACCAGACCAAAATGCCATAAACCGCGGAGTCATAACTCAAAGAGAAGTTTATGGATGTTCAAACATAAGTCACAAATAAGATATGAGGAAACACTTCAGACAACCAAAAAAATGCATTGAATTTTGAAATTCACAACTCTTCCCTTGTGAGCATAAAAAAGCGATTGCGACGACAGAAGTGTCTTTGACTCTTCGCTGTCTCCATCACGATGCATCCCCTTTTTGAAGCTACAATAACGTCCGTCACTTAAGGAAAGAAGATCAGGTAGGAGAAGGAGGAGAAGCTTCTGAGCCTCTCTCCAATTCGACAATCAGGGCTACATTCTGTCTCGAGTAAAAATTTATCCAGTAGAGTTGCATCAAAAGTCGACTTCATGTGGAACGGGAAGCCTTTAAAGCAAAGTTTATTGCCGCTTGAGACGCAATGATGCACTTTTTACAGCTCTTACCTACCTGTAGGAACGATTACATTTTTGGAAAGTCTATTTTTTGTATTTGTTGCCGGAAGAGATTCTACTTCGTGAGAGATGACCAACTATTAATTCATATTACAGTGAAAATTTATTTACTGCCAGATGAAAGTAGCTATCGCTTCGAAGAATGCGCTGCGGGAGGATAGAAGTGAGAAGATGGCAACGGCATTCTTACCTTCTTTGACTTATTTCAAAGTACAAATCTCAAAGATCACTAAAACAGCTAGTAAAGTGGCATCACTGTTGTGCTCCAAAGCCAAAAAAAAGTGAAATGAGTTGGCAAATTAGGACCAAAATGTCTAATCACTTTTGATCTCCACAGGCACACAAAGTGTTCGCACTCGTCTAGACTTGAAGTGACGGTTGGGCATAGTCGCAAAAATAAAATTAATCAGAGTCAGAATACTCATAGAGGCCTGGTAGGTGGTGTTCATTTATCTCACCGCTTCCACAACTCGCCATTACACCCTTCATCACGCCTTCATTTGCCAATCTTTGTTCTCCTAATGTCCCTTAATTTCTGTCCATTGACAACTTGACGACGACTATGCTCTCCTACGAGGCTAAGATCTTCCACAAGACAGGGTTTAGCCTAACTTTTTGCCAACAGACTCGAGCTACACTAATCCGGCTGTCAAAATAGTCAAGTTATGCATAGAGCTCAACGATCCCTTTCCAAACTTCAAACTTCCTGAAGTACCTGAAAGTACTCCAACTAAAATAATTATATTTCTCTCACAATTACACCTTCATCAGTGTGACAGAACAATTGTCGTTTGTATAGTCTTAAAAAATTGAATAAATGTGTTTTTATGTTTGTTTTTGTGAACGGAGGGCAGACTTTAGTACAAAATCACGTACAGGCTGGTGGCGCTTTTGAAAATTAGCTTTATTAGCCCTGAGAGAAGGATTAGCACCTACCTTAATGAAGTGAGTACTTCGAACGAATCCAGTGACAACTACAGTGTCATTTTTAAAGATTCGCTTGAGGAAGTTGATGCCTTGAGCCAAACTGTGTGCGGTGGGAAGAATGTTGAATGGTGCAGGCAATGTGGAGCCATTGTCAATGTAGTTGAGCCAAAGTTTCGTTCGGGCAAATTTCCACTCCACATCACAGTCCTCCTGCATTACAATAAGATTGCACATTTACAATTGCTACATGGATAAGGAAGGAATAAATGTTGCAAAAAGGCTTTGATTGTGATTGTATGTCGTAATTCGGTCACACATACGGTGCAGACCACCGCCACTGTATCCCCAACCCATCGGCATGGACCCTCAGCCCCTCTTTACGTTAGTAGTAAACGCTCTGTTAGTACCCGTATTTGCATTTTAGGTGAGGCTTCAACTAAAAAAGTCGCTTTTAACAATCCATCCGGAAATTGCGGTGCAAAAAGTCGTAAGGCCTTGCAGTGATCTCTGGGACCGAAGGCTTCTACAATATCATTTGTTTACTTATTCACCCTTTCATGTGTGTTTTTGTGACAATTTTAACTTCAGACCTAAAACATTCCAAATTTCCTACGTGGAGAATGGGAGGAATGGAAAAATCTACTCCGTGTGTAACAAGAGAAAGGGAGTGAGGGGAAGGAAGAGGTGTGGTCCTTGTGGCGGGGACTGTCAAACGGAGGCCTTTTCAAGTGCGAACCTCTTAATTTTGACTAGAAGCTAAATCCTGGGCGTACTAAGTCGACTGGCATGACAAGGCGATTTCGATGTTGGCTACCAGCACAATCTTCGTTTATACCGCAAATCACAATTTTTCTCAACTGCCTCACAAAAAAGCACGAATTTAATTAAAGAGTAGCAAAAGAGTGTGGAAAGTGAATTGATTTCAGCGTTACTTATGCCCTCACTTCAGGTGGATAAAACGCCCTTAAAATTAATTTCCCCTTCTATTCGGTGGTTAGAGGACCAAATTACCCATTTGTATGTGCTGTCAATTCGACTTTCGCTCTCCAAGGGGAAAGAGGCAATTCCATTTCCCCCGAACCATCGTGGCATCGCATTATCATGACTTCTGCACTGCAAGCTACCCTCGATTAGAGGCAATCTTGAATACACCGTGTACATTTTTGACCACCTCTTTTGTTTCACATTCAGGTTAGGATTTGATTAAAGCTGCACAAAGGAATTGAATGCTCTAAAGGAGACGGGAAATGACTTCTACCTGTATGCTCTCGAATGAGTGACTCATCATGGCAATTAACATGTTGACAAGGACGATTATGATGATCCCGTGGTAGACAGCGAAGAGGATCATACCAACACTGTCGATCACCACTGTGTTTGCATCGGGGTCGATCATTCCATCCGTGTACTTGTGCTCCTCGGTATCTAAAGTGATATATTTTGATGCTCAAAAAAGCCATAATGTTATGTTGCAAAGAGAAGCGTAGTAAATGGAAGATTTTGAGGAAAATGGAACTAATTTGAATATTGTCGTGTGAGTAAAGGAAGTGTGGGTGCTAAAACTGAACCTATGGCACATCCACTCCCTTATGAAGGTCCTCAAAAGACAACCAAACATCGAGAAGCGCACTTACGAGTACCGCTGAGGTCGCAGTGAAACAGCTAACCTCAGCATAGAACCTCACTTGGCGGGTGATGCGAATCGACCAATGCAAGAAAGAAAAGTGAATTCGATCTTCACTTCTTAACTCCATTTTAAGATTATCTCAAAAGTTCCTACTTGACATGAGTGCACCTCAAAAAGTCCTTTTTGTGTCAAAAAATGAAAAATTCTCCCATACCCTCTCCTTCGTACTTTACTGCCTTTGGAGTGCTTTTTTGGATGTCCTCTTATGCAATTTTTTTGAACACTAAAACAACTTTTATCACTCAGAGAAAGGCATAGCATTGATGGATTTTTTGGTATTTTCATTACTACAAAGACGCGTTGCAGATTTCGAGGTTACGTTTAGCACGAATTTAGCTGATTACGCCAACGCTCAAAACATTTTCTTCTAACCCCTTTATGCATGATTAATCGACAGCATATCTTAAGGCTAATAACAACAAAACCGAGTAAAACAACAAAAAGAAGAGGAAGAAAATAGAAAATTTTCACATAACTCAGACACCTCACATGCTTTCCCATTTTTGCCCGGAATTGACAACTCCCACCCCTCCCCCTTCCCCAAATCTGATAAGAGTGATTTATGCCCTATTAGTATTGATTGGGCGAAAGGTTGGCCCGGTTCATCTCCCCCCCCCTCCCTCGCTCTCGCTCCGAGCGAGAGGGCGGACGGGGCTCGCGTGGATGGATCGATAACGGGTGTGCGGTAGCGATAAGTCTCCGCCTCTCGGCCCAGATTCTTGCCACCATCTGGTGCACACATGGCCATTGATATTTCAGTGTTAAATTGGCATTCGCCATAATGATGAAGTCGTAAAGGGCATTACTACTACCGCCATTTAACTTCAACAACCATCCCCACAACAAGAAACAGTGGTGGCGTTTGTTTTGTTGCATGGTGCAACCAGACACCTTGGGCATTCAAGACGTCTTTGGCGGGTACCAGTACAGCCTGATTTGCCCTTTGTGAGGAGTTAGTTTCAAAATAGGTCCATAATGTGGCGTATATGAGCAAAATAAAAGTGAATTCAAGCTAAAAGTCGGTATTATGGGGGCTTTGATAAATATGACTGTCAAAATGTCATGCCCTCTTGTTAATTAGAAAGGGATGTAAAGTGAGCATGCCTCCGTTTTTAAGTCCTCATTGTTCTCCTAATGGCAACTTCTTTTGAACTAAAGGCTGTACACAACTAATACCAAAAACACATAAATCAACATTCCATTGTACAATTTCCGAGTACAAAGTTTAAAAATTCGTATTTCAAGGGATAGGGATTGGTGCCATCTTCTCTATGCAGGCAGGCATAACATTAACAAGTTATCAGTTGGTGACAGTGGAGGAATAACGCAGTCAAACCTACCTCAAGTTTGTCCAAATACCCCAATTCTAATCAAATTCGCATCCCATTTTACTGTCGTAAACAAAACTTCAACTAAGTTAAAGGGTGGAATCGTTTCCGATTTCACGCCTCGTTACATGGGGAGGTCTAATGACCACGTACGCCCTTCCGCCGTGGGTTAAAAAAACCGTGGAACTGGGTCGAGTGAAGTTGGTTCAGAAGAAGGGATGAGAGCGGACAGCAGGATTGAAGCGCGGGGAGGGAAGGTGGGGTAAGGGAGGAGGGGGACAGAAGGGGTGGGTTAGAGGGGAAAGAATTGAAGCGCTTACCTGGTCGTCGAATCGGCACCCTTGAAATGCTGACTTGGCTGAACATAGCCCAAAATAAGCTGTAGAGTGTATGCCTCAACCTAAAAAACACGCAACACTCACGATTACAGAGCTCCATAATTTTCAACCCAAGGTCACGCTTCATGCATATACGGCGCTTTAATTTAAAAAAAATAATATACTTGGAAGAAAAAAATGAAGGATATAAGCAATGCTAAGTGAACCATAGTGGTTGGTTTTGAGGAGAATTTGGTGGTTTTGTATGCAAAGTGCGGAAATAAGTTAAGTTGGAAGCATGAAAATGCCTCTCTTACCCCTCAAACGCCTCCGTTGCAGGCTGAGGCCTTCCTGTGGCATTTGCTGGGGGATAAATGAGTTGAAGGCCGTAGTACCAGTAGAGGTTATGCAGACCCACCATGAATGCAAATATGACCTGTAAAGTTGGGTAAAGAGAGGACAACTGACGTAAATGGAGTCTATACAAGGCTTTTGACGGGTAATGTGGAACGCGCATTCGCCTGTGGCAAAGTCGGTGTACATAACAGATGAGTTAGCTTTTGGTACTTTTGCACGATGTAAATACGACGCGGGGTTTGGAACTGGGGCTTCTTTCCAGTGATGAGTAAGGCAGCTAGTTTTTGGATTGAAAGGATTCTATAACTCTTGTGCCACTACTTGTCAATTCGTGTGGATCTGCAATGTCTACTCACCGCTTCCATCCTGCCGATCTATTGTGGCTTATGATGGGAGACCCGTTTATTTTCACTCGAGGATACGCCTAACACTAAAAGCATTGATGCCTTGTGTGAACTACTTTGTAGTGATTTGTTTGACTGAGACAGCACTCCTTACCAGAATGTAGAGCACCATGAATCGAACAATGTCGGTGAGCATTCGAGTGAAGGAGATTTGCAGTGGACCCAACGCCTCAAAAGCCGGCATTAGGTAGGTGGTGCGGGCAAAACTGAAGACGTTTGCGATAGCAAATAACACATCCGAGACGATCTCCGGATCATCCGCTTTCCATCGAAATCGAGCTACATTTTGGAGGCAAGAAAAATTGACAAATAAACAAGTGCAGGTGAGAACTCAATTGACGGTCTTTGTGTCAAGGTTTTGGGCAAAGAACTTTTAGCCATCAAGTCAAGTGAAAAGTTAGACAGTGATTAATTGTGTTAAAGGGGATAATTGCAAAGTTTAATTGTTCGTTCAGCTCCTAGGCAAAGCAACAATCAACACAGAAGCTCCACCATTGCAAATATCCGCCAAAAGCCGCCATTTCAACCGTACCAAGGCAAGAAGTGTACTTCCGTCATCAGCACAGTGTCAGTGCGCTAAAATTTTAGTCGCAAACCACAAATCCAAGCCTTAAAGATAATTCATTTGTTATAATGGGCAACTCTAAAAGACTATAACAGAAGGTTGGAAAACACAAGTCTTCCAATTCCAAATCAAATAAGTTTGTTTTAAGTGGTGATCATTCGTGATGGCCGCCTTCCTCCATTGTAACAACAACAAGGGGAAACGCTGACAATGCGGTCAGGATTGCTCCCACTGGATCGTGCTGAACGACAAGGCGGTAGAATAAGACACCCACTAGAATTGGCGCTTAAAATGAGGGAGATGAAATGCAGTCCTTCAATTTTAACTTCTAATTTTGGTAGTAAGACACGCTGAAGCCACAGAACCTCAGCCCTTCTGCAAGTCGACGATACAATTTCCGCCCTGTTTTTTGTCATCAAAAGCATTTTTAAAGCTGCTAAAACCATTGGATGAATTCACTTCCTTGATTTAGAGCTTGAAGACCTTGACTATGAGGCAGGAGTGCTTATCTTCGCTTCGTGTTCTTTCCTTTTTTTCCCTCCCTCTCAGATTCAGTGCTTGTAGCTCAGTCTTTCCAGTCACAGTCAGAAGGGCAACAACTCCAACACCGCCAATGACAAAACGTAATATTTTTTTTTGTAATTTTTTATATGCTCTCGTAGGAACAAAAAAAAACAAACACAAAATGCCAAACAAAATTCTGCATTGTGAGCTAACTTCAATGTGGGTGAGCGATGCATTATGGGTGCCATATTCTCGAGGATGGGAAGGGAACAAAAACATAAACAGTATGAGTGAGAGAAAGGAATGTTGCTCCAAAATACACTTTGCTCCCAATGCCTCACCAAAGTTATCGCACACCGAAGGCACACTTTAGTAGACCAGTGCACAAAGAGCATTGTTTGCAAGATATGTTTATAAACAAATGAAGTTGCAAAGTCTCACCATACGCCTGGAGAGGGGTTGAAAGTTTGTGATTACGTCGACGGAGGTGATAAGGAAGCCAAATGTGAGGTCACCTGTCTACCACTTGGGCATCCAAAGATCCCCCGGAAATGCAGATCGTCATACCTGTTACGATGGTCAAACTAAGGACCCACTGATCAGGAAATGATTGTTTATTTTTTAGTTCAAAGGGAAATGTCTGCTACTTTGTCAATGCTTCGTAATCTCCGTTTAGTGAGTCAGCAAATGTTGCTGCTTCTCTTCCATTAATGAAGCCTTCAGGGTTGCCAGCAATTCACCTCCTACCCAAAACAAGAAATCCGAAACCTTTTCCGCTCTTTCCCGACATTTTGCGGCGACAAAGAAAGAGAGCTAGTCCTTTGGTATTTTATGCAAAGGTAACTTCACATGCCGAGGTGGTTACACATTTGTCTGCATCGCGTTGGTGTGGGAAGCAAGTAGATCACCTTGTATTATGGTAATTTAGTGAAAAAAATATATTAAGGAGAAGGACATAAGCAACGCTCGTTCCTCTTAAAAGGGTTTTTGAATAAAGGGCGCAGGCTTACCTTCCCCTCACTCCAATTGCGATGACAAAACTGAAGATACTACTTAAATCAAAGCTTGCTTAAATGTAAACCTAAAACTTTTATCAACCAAAATGGACATCAAATAGATGCTATAAGAAATCTTAGGCACTGATGATAACTGTTCCTAATTCTGAATGCGAAATGATTAAAAATCCTCTTCTTTAAACTGTCTCGCATTATAGGTAACCCGAAAATGATTACGAAAACAGTTTGCTATGTTTTCTTGCGTAAAATTAATTCCTGACTCAACTGGGAGTCCGTCTCCAACGCCACATAGGCCTGCAAAATTCACCTTTATAAATGATTTAGTGTGTTTTGTTTCGGGGCGGAAGCAACTCAACTTTAGCCACCACTGTTTTCATCCCCGTTCTTTGATTTCTCAGTTGTCCATTCTCATCAAAATAGAAATGACCTCATAGCGAGAGAAAGTTATTATCGCATAGCCAAATATCATCAAGGAGACACAAAAGATGAAGCTCTGGATACAAAAAAACCACTAACTTTTACTCCTTTCCTCTTTTACGTAGCACTCCTTCAAACAATTAATTTCACAATATAATACCCAATGCTCTATTGAGCTACTTTTTACCAACTCAACAGTCCTGGCTGTAAAGGTTAAGAAAACAATGAATTAATTGAAAATCTGATCATTGCTGTGCTTGACAAGTTAACCTGTAGGTGCCAATCCCGACGTGGAGAAAGCTATCGCTAAACGGAATGCATTAGCTTCATTTCTACCCAACTAGACTGAAGCCACACACTAGACTGTGGGAGGTCAAAACCTGTGGTAGATGATTGAGACCCTCAAAGGGAGCGCCGCCTCTGCAGACGGATAAACAATCGCAAGGGTATCGCAAGGCTTCAAACCTTGCACCGAACACATTGCCTTCCCTACCACAAAATACATTCCCACCATTGTCCACCTGATTGTGTCCTTTTGTCAAATGAAGTTCCACAGACCAAAATTTCTGTCTCCAAGGGGTTCACTGATTGTGTAAGTAAAATTAAAACATACTTTCATCCAAATATGTCTTTAACATTTGCAGAACAAATTAATTACAAGAGAAAAAAGACGTAGTCTCGGTGAAAAAAAGAAGAATTGAGGGCTACAAATTCTGCCTAAAGCGAAATACTACTAATGGCTGGAGGACATGCAAAAGTCTCCAAAATTTCTGCCTTAATTGGCCATAACGTGTAATACTGGATGGGCAAAAAACGCACCGCTATGGGAGATTTTCTGTAATTGAACTTTTTGATACAAAAGGCGAGGCGCTCAATTAGGAGGAGGAGGAGGAGGAGGAGGAGGGGGAGAAGGTGACTCCTTCCCGCCCTTTGCGCATCCTCTTTCCACCCCAGAAGCTGCAAATGTGCAAGACGAGGGAGAAGGCTTGCGTGACAACCGTTAAATGCAATCGCATGCCTTCAAAACCATCCAAATGACTAACTGCCCACAATCTCAAAGAGAGTGTCACCTCTCTCTCTCTCACTCTCTCTCTCGTATTTCCTCTGAGTTATATAAAATGTTTATGGTGCGACTTCGAGCAGCATAATTTCATAAAATTTTTTTCTTGCAAAGAAAGCAATTGTCTTCCCTCCCTAATTGTCCCACCCACATTGTTTCCTTCAACAATTGTTAGCACCTTTTTTCCACATTTCAAAGTCCTCTGCACTACGTTTGTGGAGAGTGGAGGAGCAAAAATAATGATATTTTGATTTTTGATGAAATGCTTAACATTTACAGCATAACTTTGTCTAACTGGAAGGTTGTCGAGACCGTGTTTATCCCCAGAGACTGTGAGATTGAAGAGGTGCCAGGCCCTTAACTGGTTCTATGGAGGTACCCAAAGTAGGCAACTGAAAGATACATTATTTCCACCCTCCAGTGTGGAGGAGAGGTCAGGTAGGAGGTTCCGCTGCTGTTTTGCCACCAATTGATCTAGTTCTATGGCGGTGCCATTAGATTTAAGCCCTCCTATCCGTCAGCAATACACATTTTTTGCCCAAATAGAGTCAAAATAAGGAAGAGCATGATGGAACGAACCCACATCATGCATTTAATTTAATTTACATGTGTTCTTGCCTGCGTCTGGTTCCCATCACGTGGGTGGCTTTTGAAAGCATCAACCAAATTGCGATGGCTGACATAGAAGGTGGACTTCGAGGAGTCAGAGGGAAAAAGAAAGACATGGGGTGGGGAAGAAGAGCTGCATAGCAACAATATTTCCTAATTATTAGTGCTTTGCATCGTCTAGGAGGTTATAATAACACACACAATCCTTCTCTCGGCAACTAATTCAATCTTGATGGGCACCTTTAGAGGGCCTTTGAGTGAAAACATGGGAAAAAGAAGCAACCAACATCACATGGTAACAATTCAGTAGTAAAAGTGATTGAACTAATTTTACCCCTAAATGGCTTTAAACTCGGGCAAAATTTACTGCCATTTCCTGAAACTCAAAATACGTCCCCACTGATCAACTTCAGAGGTGGTCGTGGAGTTGCTCTAGCAACTTTAAGAGCGATAAAAGGAAAGGCTTGTATCACTGTGACAACTTACAACCCTCAATTTTTAGGCTCAACTTCGACAATGACCCACTTCTTCCCTTCACATTTCCTTTAAAATGCACCTCTTTGAGCTGTTTGAGCGGCAAAATTAAATTCAAACGCTTTCCTTTATAAGAGTGCATGGGAGACTTTTGCTTCAAGCTTGGCTAAGCCACCCACCAGACCAGACAGAAACTTGGAGGCCTTTTTAACTCTTCCATAGGGTCAGATATGAGAAGGATGTAAAACTTTTACTTAATTACTCCTTATTGTAATATCTTAGGCATTTTGAATGGGAGGTTGGGTAAAGACATTTGAAGGCGTTTAAACTTGCATTAGCATCCTTCCCTGCTCAAGTATGTAAATGCTTTTAATCCGATCTGTTGACTGTCGAGAAAGTTAGTTTTTGATTTTATGAAGATTCCTGAAATAAAGTGCATTCTTAGGAGACCAATGTCTGAATAGATTTGGTGCTGTTGTAAATGTTTTTTACCGCAAAAGTAAAGAGTGAAGAGATAGTAGAATGCCTTCAACTGAATAGGCATCCCAACTTCAGAGTTTAGACTTGTAGATGTCCATAGACAAACAGTGAATAGCAATTAGCATTAGCATCGAGACGATCAAATGGACTGTAGGCTTAAAAATGCTCAAAAAAATGACTACTGCAGGAGGACAGTGTCCCATGCAACTGAATCCTCTTCAAACCCACTCTGATTGGTTGGATTGCACACCTCGTATACACACTTCCAAAGGAGACTTACAGGCCTCGATGAAGTAACTGGCGGAACTCTGAGTCGAGCTTTTCCATCCCTCCACCATGGGTTTGACTAAACGACTTTCATTGCGTTGAATCAACTCTTCAATACGATTTGTTGCATTGAAGAAGACATCGGAGTCCCGCACCCACCCATACACGATGATTCGTAGAGTGTAGCTGCACATGTACAGGGCGAGGATGCAGTAGATGATGATGTTGTAGGCACTCATCATGTAACTCCGTAATCCCGCATAGTAGATGTGCTTCATCTCCGCAACAAAATGACCTTTCAATGGGACGGTACAGGAGTGAAAGGAAATTTCAAGACACTGTAACATTGTAGTCTTCGACTAGGAAATTAAATCTCAGTTCTTGTAACCCGGAAGTCAGATAATTTCAGGAGTGTGAGTGTATGTGAGTGAGGTTTAAAGTCCTCGTTTATGGCCTCCTCCTTGCAACTTTCTATTGCCAAAGTTTGCATTAAGAAAGAAGGGAAAAAAAAGTAAAACAGAAACAATCAATCTCCCCTTTTTACAATTTTAAGCAAAAGAAAAAGTAAAAATTATTCACTTAAATTGTACCACCCACGAGGCAGACTTTTAGTGTTAAGTTGGTGCAAAAACATCGTTAACCTTGTGTTTCTTTTCTATTTGTGGATGTCATCGAAGAGGCCTGATCTTTTCTCTACTCCCCAATGTCACGAAAAGTTGAAATTAAAACTTATGGTTTAGGCCTTAAAGAAAGTAAAGTGAGGTGTAGAAATGGGAACCTCGAGAATGGCTGGATCGCAGTCTAGTTGGCACAATTCACCGAAAAGTCGACCAGGCAGAGGGCAAGAGAGAGAGAGGGAACAGCTTCTGAGGTGGAGGAAAAGTTAAAGTAGACGCAATCTATTATTCATATGTGATTGTCTCAAAGACTATTCTTTTTTACGGTTCGTTGGCATCAGCATTCCACCCTCGGATTACTTCCTTGCTACTCCTTCTAATACCACCTTCAAAGGAAAGTAGCCGCTAGGGCCACCCTCAAGTACGGGTAAAATGAAGGACTACAGCGTTTATTTGGTAAAATTCACCATTTTCTAGAAGGAAGCATGAAATCGCTTGACACACCTCTTAGCAGGATGTTTACGAAGGGGTTAATTGAACCACCGGACTGTAACCCATGCCCACTTCCTTCGCATTTTTGGCCCACCGTACAACTCAGGGCACACTCCCTTCAGCTCTTACTTCTCCCCTGAAAAGGAGGTAATCAAGGCACTAAAATAAACACTCAATTCTCTCAAAACAACCCAACCAGGAATAGTTGTTTGGCTACAAGGCGGAAATGGACAGTTAGAGGCAGTGTTTGTAGCGCTCGCTTTTCCCTTCCATAAGAGCAAGTCTGTGGATTGCGTGGAGGGAGATGAAGAATGTCCTCCACTCTCACATCACCGCTTCACTAGGGTGACTTTATTGTCTAAAATCACTCATATATGCTCACTTTTATGTTTGTTTGTGTGTGCTTTAGGTGTTAATAATTAAACGAGTCTATCTTAATCAGACCGGAAATTCAACTTGATTTATAACAGCAGTTAGCATTTTGTTGGCTCGTCTCTCCCTCTCCTCGGCATCTCCCTCTCACCCATAAATCCGCCTTATTGGGGGGAATCTTTTTTTTGTAAATAGTCACTCATAAAGGCACTTTCTTTTGTTTACAAACACTTAATTTTATGAAGTAATAATAAAAATTTCCGTTTTTCTGTACATTGCGTGACTGTGAAGTAGTCGCTGACCCAGCCCCTTTGTATTATGAAGTGCGACGAGTCCACGGATAAAGGCTTTAATGTCTAACTGACGGGGTTTTTTGGTGTGGAAATGTACCTGCGATCCATAGGACAATGCAGACCTGTACATGAGTGATGATGGCCTTGTTTGGACGGAAATTTTGCTCCAACCACGATCGTACGGTTCGTTCGTCGGCATTGTAGTCCTCATGGATGTCGTAGTTCTCCTCTAACCGAAATGTGGCTGCTGAGAGTAGAATGAGAAAGAGGAAGTGGGAAATGCAGTGAGTGGCAAATTTGGTGGCAGGACATCGCATTGCTCGAGTTAACTGCAAGAGAAGGAGGCGGTATCGAGGTAAGAATAAGTTGGAGGTACAGAACACTTGCTCCGTCACGCAGTACTTTCAACTCTATCATGGAGGTCTGTAAAGTGGTCTCATGCAAAAGGAGAAGAAGAAAAATCCTTTTTTGGCCTGACTTAATTCCTTTCCTCTTTAAAAATTTATGATGATAAAGAGGCTCTTCATTCTGACGCATGTTTGACATAAGAAGTGTCATTTATTTTCCTTAAGGAAATAGCAAAATAAATCCTTGCTATTACAGTATGAAGGTCTTTAATCTGGTGAAAAGAGATTCCAATGTTTTTGTTGGAAATGATTTTTTAAAGACCTCCCAGTATTTTCAGTTCTTTGGTCTTTTAAGGAATGGTTTATGATACAGCGCAGTTCAAAATGCCGAACAAAACGTGTCAGGAAGGCGACAGCTACCCCCAAAATTAGATGTTTCATCTTTTATGCTTAATCTTTGCACAGTGGAAATTTTGAATACCGCCGTTTTCTTGGGCCCTCTTTTGGGAAAATTTGGAGGAACAGAACTGACCCGTTTTCATGAGGACTACCTAAGGCGAAGGATCTGCTGAATGGGTAGAACGCGATTCCTTCCCTTCGCCATGCCAAAAATGGTTTTGTCCCACAGGTTGGAAAGTTATCGGCCAATAAATTTGGCAGTCATCTACTTCACTTCGCATTACATCACGTCTTGGGAACAATAGTTGTGGTCCTCCTCTCAATCCCACTTTTGCACACTACTTCTTTGGAATTTTCCTCACCTCCAACTTTCGGTTTTACAAAAAAATTAGTGAAAGCACTGCCAATGAACCTCTGCTGACAGAATTGAGTAGTCATTGAAAACAATGGAATTCTACACCTAGGAGATGTGTCGGAGCGAATCACCTATTTCATATAAGTAGTATAGTGCGCATTGATTTATTTCAATGCAATTTTAACAACGAATGCCTCATTCATTCTTGGCGAAACTTAAATAGCAGAATAAAGTGGTAAGTAATCATCTACAGAGGTCTGTTTGACACCTAAGCCCACCTAGGCATCGGCTTTAAGGGGTAATCTTCTCTTTTCAAGCTCCCATTTCAGTCTTTGTTGGCAAGGAGAAGAAGAATATGCATCCAATTTACACTTCAGAAATTGGCGATTCCTTCGATGGGAAAAAAATAGCGGCGAATGAAAGAAGCATAATAGTTTAGCTTAGAAGAGACAGCAGTTAGTTTCCACTTCTGCGGCCTTGCTTGCAAAATGTTAGCTGGAAAGTGTACATTTTAGGTGCTATATTTAAGGGGATTTCTGGTTCAAACTGAAATTCTTATGCGTTGGGAAGGGGGATGGAGGGGGGGGAGGTGGAAACAATGAACTCGCCTGAGGTTTAATTTCGTACTCCCAAGCGAAGTGGTCTATCAGCAGTCCGCATTGAGGTTTTATTTTCATTTGGGCATAGCTACGATAGCACTTATAAGTCCCCACTTTGGCCAAAATATTCGGCATTAGAAAGAGGTAATATATGTGCCCATGTGGTGGGAACGGGCTGCATGACAGGCCCATGACACCTCGACTAGCAGCTACCAGTTTGACGCTCATAAAAGGTGGTAAGGAATGCGTAAATCCCCTGTCATTGTGAATGCTCACAAAGATAGCAAAATGAAGCAAAATATGTAGGAAAATTACGAATGTATGCATAAAATGCCCTTATCTGACTCACAGATCCAATCCTAGTGGGTCGCGGAGTACTGGCGTCCTGACGAAAAATGAAAACACCACATGGTAAGGTGAAGGCTGAAGCTAGTGTAACCGCCTACTACTTTGTTAGAAGGTACTGACATCAAAATAATCCACTCCTGTCCCATTAGATCATAGCAATGAACAAAGTCAAGTCTCCACTCATGTGAAACGAGGACATGACGTACTTCAGCAGAAGGTAAAAGGATGTAGAGGACACAGATCAGTGGAAGCAGAGGCATTGCAAGAATTGATAGTCCAATTTTACGCATCAGTGTCCAGGATTGGAGAAACGCCGTCTCTGAACCGTACCAGATACTTGTGAGGTACTGCTGACAGTTTGGATGAGCAACAAACTACAAGGCATGTCAAAAGAATTTGTCGTCTATATAGACATCAGGAGCAAGAAAAAAAAACACTGAAGACATAATAAAAGGCGTAGGGTTGAAAGTTGGTGAGGACTGCCATAAACGAGGAGCAGCAACTGGTTTTGTGGCTTTCCATGCAGGGGACGATTTTCTCACAAGACGTGATGTCCAAGTTTTAAAGCACAAGATAAGCAGGTAAGAGAAATTTTTTTAAGAAAAAATTAATCTTTCATGACAGTTGCTCATTCTACCAAAACAGGGTATTTAGGTGGGCGATTTAAGTGCGGATTAATTTAACACACACCAAGCAAAACCTCCCGAAGTGTGGGTGGACATGTGGACAGCACCGATCCAGTTTATTTATGACTTTACCTAAAGACAGGATTTATGTGAATGAAGGAGGACCGACTGATTGGTAAGTTGTACGAAAAGCAAGAAATTGCCTCACCTTTCTCTCCGTTGACGAATTTAGATGAGGGAATAAAATTTGCCACCCTAGGCAAGCTTCCATGAAGCAGCAAACTGAATACTTTTGCAGTAGCATTTAAAAGAGATGGTGTCAAATGGCTTTGTGAAATTTAATACGTAAGACTTTGGTACATCCTCTCACCACCCTTTTTAGTAGAAATGGACCAAAATGTACTACCTGACGAAATTATGGTTTGCTTATATTCAGTGAAGCCTTGAAAATTTGCTTGTCACTAACTGTCACCCAAGCACACCGCCTTCGATGTACTTTCTGAAAATCGAGTACCTAAGGTGGAGGGAAGGGGGAAATTGGAAGGTGGTGTAGGACAACCCGTAATCCGTGCTTCTCATTGGCCAGTACTGAGCAGACACACCGTCTTTGTACTGCTAACTTCTGTAAAATTACGATCGCTTAAAAAGGATATAAAACATGTGTGAATTGCAGTCATTTAAGAGTTGAATCAGTCACATTAGCAGTTGGGGTGACAAAAGCTGTGCTCTTGTTGCTACCAGCCTTTCAGCATTGACCGTTCAGATTGAATGCTTGGCGTTTTCAGCATTTTTGCATTAAATTCGCGTTGATGACAATCCGGGTGATGCTTGTGATGCGAGCATGGACAGAGGAGGCCATTGAAGTTTAGCGACACATTGCTGTCAAGGTGGGGGAGAAGGAGAAGGAGGAGGAGGAGGAGGAGGTCTAGCTGCTAACCATTCCATCGTGCTCCCCTTCTGGATTATGTCGTTAGGCTTGCCTTCCAACAATCCCTTTATGGCCGTAAATTCTTCAAAGGCGACATTTGTTCCACCTAATTCAGCTGCTAAGCCTCCAGTCCTTTGGAATAAAAATGTCTTCAAGCCTTGTCATTCCATTTGGGGCCAAATTACAACTAATACTCACTTTCATACACAGTAATTTATCACTAATTTTTTTTCTTTTTTATGAAAAAAGAAGGAATCAAGGCACCATACGAGTAGGGCTTTCAGACTGTCACAAAATCCCTCCCCTGCAACCGATTACATCGTTATGGAAATGGGAGAAGAGAATTTGGCAACTAATCATGTTTCATTTTTACTTGCGGTTAACTTAGCAAAGCAAAGACGTGGATAGGTGCGCAGCTCCCCTTTTATTCCTTTCCATTTTAATTCATTTCTTAACTCTCCGACAGCCTCTCATCTGGACATCGTCGTTGTTTGGTGCCCAGCAGTCCCCTCATCTACCATTTCATAAAGGCACACTATTTGGTGGAGAAGAAGCTAAAGAGAGAAAATGGAATGATGTACCGAAATTGCGCTACGACATTCGTAAAGGCTGTTTTACAGATTGAAATTACTTCAGCTGCTTGAATAGGCTTTGAGTGCATCCACAGGCTGTACCTCAGCAGCCTCACATCCACCACCGCCTTGACGAGGCTCACTACACGCCTATCCATCATGGTGGGTCTGAGCACTACCTCCTTACATCGAATAAAGTTTTTTAAACTTTTTGGACTACAAAAAGTGAAGTTGTCATAAAACATCCTAAAAAAATTTATGTAAAAATGGGTTATATGTCTTGAGGACCCATATATCATGCATATGTTCATTTATCCCTCGATGAAATGCATTTGAAGAATAATTATTTATGTTGAAGATAAACCCTTAGAAATCCATCAACCTCCAAAAGCCTTAAAGCAAAAACATCAGTGAGAGGCAATATTTTACCTTTTTCTCCTCAAATTGAATGGCCAATCGCAGTCGCCCCAGAGGATCACGAACATTAGTGCCATCTTCAAGGAAGTCCGAGATGACGGCTTCGACCTCTTGGGTTCCACGACACAGATCCATCATTTCACAGGCAAAATTCATGCACTGCTCAACCAGAGTCAGGTACTCCCGCTAAACGAAAGGCAACTTGTCGAATGATGGAGTAGGCGGTTTTAAATTGAGATGTATTTTTTTCTTATCGACGGAGGTGATCAAGGAGAAAATTACTGAGTTGTAAGCCGCTTCTTCCCCATTCCCAACTCCAAATTCTCATTTCTAAGTGGGTTTAGGAGGTATGGGGAAACTCACTCCGAAACAAATTTAACATTTTCATCTACTAATAATCGAGTGTGTCGTTGTGCAGCATCAAAGTAAAGAGTGATGACTGAGAAAAATCCTCGACAATGGGTTACTTGGTTAGTCCGAATTTAGCTATGGACTACTTTACGTAGTTAAGAGTTGATAAGAGTCCACCATTCTGTTAATTTTGTAAGCAATTCACACTTCCAAATCTTCAAAAGGCCTAAACCTATTCCATGGCATTCCGTCCAAGTGGGGAATGCCAACGCCTGACCTCTTCAACCCTCACTGATGGTGCGAAAGGAACAAATGAAATTTGCTGTCCTATTTGATGCGCCAAGTTAATGATTGCCTTTTCATGGGCATCGTCCCTCTCCTCCACTCTCAACATTTCTGCCTTGTCATGGGCCTGTCGATCGCGACAGGTCATCACTTTACTTGACAGTCCAACACGTAAAAAGGGGATAAATAATGGGCGCTACGTTCTCCATTCAACTATTCTAGCATTTTAAATGCCTAAAAGTGTAAATGCGTACATTTGACTCCAAAAAAAAATTTGCCTCTTTTTTTAGTAGTTTTTGTGGATAGAGGAGGGGCGAGGGAGAGTGCACATCCTCTTTTGTTGTCAAAAACGGGAGTCTCGATGATGCATAAATTCGGAAACGTACACCGACAGTATTTGGCGCGTGGAATAGGTGGAGCAACTTGTTTTGCTTTAAGCAAATGAGGGTTAAATTGGGGTGCTGACGAAGGTTTGGTGCAGTTCTATCGCCAACATCACAATTTACTCCTAAAGTTATTATAATTTATAATTCTTTTTAACACATCCAAGATAGCATTTTAGGTCTTTTTTCTGTGGGAAGGAAATATGACACCTCAAGGACATCATCAATAGGCAGACCTTGAATTCCTTCTCGATCTCCGCCAACTTCATCATTTCTTGACGCAGTTCAAAGGTGGCCATAATGGGATCGGGAGAACTGAGCGCCATGTAGGCGGGACTGGCAAGAGCTCGGTAGGCGTTGAGACGGGATCGTGAGCGTTTGAGAGAGTCGTAGTCCTGCTTCACTTGACAATCCGTGCATTGACATGAAATAGGATGCGGTTTTTCAATGGTGTGTGAACGAGACAGAAACATTTGTACCATCTCATGGTTGTTGTAGTGCGCGGAGAGGATTAGCGGGGTGATGTCGGGTGAGAATTGACTCTTCTCAGTGGTACGGAAGAAGGAGTTCTTTGAGTCCACACGTTTCAATCGCTCCTCACACGCCATGTAGTTGGGGTGCTCAATAATCACACGCACAATTTTCACCAGACCCTTGGAAATTCCATGCAGTAACGCCTCTTCAATACACTCAAAGGAGAGTTTATCGAGGAGCATTTCAATGGCCTCCGTGTTCTCCGAATCGACAGCAAGGTGAAGAGCATTTCGACCCATGTAGTCGACACAATTGACATTGAAATTGGGAGACGAGTCGGCGTCTTCGAGTGACATTCGGATAACTCCAACATCACCGATGGAAGCCGCGTTCAAGTAGACCCGCTCCTCATCCGTCAACTGCAAACAAAAGCGGACTCTGCTTTCAAATTAACTGAGACACACTTTAAGGACAATTTTTTGCATAAGCCTATCACAATCAAATAAATAAATTCCTTTGGACAAAAAAACGAATGTCTATTCTCCTCATAGTCCATTATAAAACAATTGAAGCTGGGTGTCTTGGCTACAATAGATACATCACCTTCAATGCTTGGTGAATTGTTGTACAAGAAACTCCTTGAATTGTGTTTTTTTTTACTAAAAAGTGGTCAGTTCAATTCAATTTTTATTTATCGGGCGCATTAAAAAAATAGCACTCAAAAGTGAAACAATTTGCTTCCCAAATGTATCCAACTTATCCCCTTCTAAGCCTCATTGACTGACGAGAGTGGAGACTTCAAGCATCTGCAAACTTTTAGCCGTTCATGTTCAGTTGTTGTTGTTGTTGT